GAAGCGTTTAACTTGAGACTAGTGGTCAATTAGAGACAAGAAACTATTTAATTCAGAGCAATCTAGGTGAGAGTTAACTGGAATAGAAACCGTCAGGCAATCAGCACACTTAATAAAATTAGTGTCAGTGGAATAAGGTAAATCAAACAAAAAGAAGAACAGAAAAGGAGGAAGTACTAAACCTTGAGGCACACCGACTTCAGTAAGCAATAAAGTGGAGCGCCTCACTTTATAGACAATGTACTGTTTACCTTCGGGAAAATAAAAATACAGCCACTTTGTAACCCATGGCTCGGTTTGAGCTATGGCCAGCTTATTGAACAAGAGTGGTCTAGGAACAGAGTTGAAGGGTTATCAGTAATCTAAGAAGGCACAATGAACATACCTAACACCTTTGTCGAGACTAGAAACAATATTATGATGTGAGACAGTGGGCAGCATCTAAAGTACTTCTGTGTTTGTAAGCAAATTGTTTTGGATCTCTGAAAACCTTTGAGGAAGGTTCAAGCACAAGGAGAAGTAATTTGTCCATTGTCTTCAAGAATGGGAAGTTATAGCGATGGGTTGAATCTTGACACCTGATCCGGAAGATGATTTAGGCACAGGTAGAACTTTGATCTCCTTCGAAGGAATGGGTATTGTATTTTTGGAAAACGATGCATTGAAGATATCTGTAAGGGGATGACATAAAATATCTATACATTTTCTAAATATTATGCACGAAACACCATCAGGACCCAGGGTTCAGGATCGATTCAGGGATTTGAAACCTTTGGATACATCAGTTGCACTAAAACCAAAAAAGCAACTATCCATTTTTCTATGGACAACCATAATTGTATTGCTGCATATTTAGAATGTTTCAACCGAGTAAATGTGAAGTTATCCACTCCTAGAAAATACGGCTTAACTATTTTAATTATTCTTCAGGTTTTATTATGCATCGAATTTTGTTGGTGGTTTGTAGAATGGCAAGTGGAAAAACGCACTCAACAAACATGTGCACGTCCATGCATTAGGTAATGAGCTACACCTATTGTGTGAAGGATGATGATATTGTCTGGCTGTTTAAACCTTGGTAGGTGGGGCACGGTTCAAACTTGTGACATTTGTTGAAAGTCCACTGTCTAGGCAAATGGTTTGCGCACGGATTTACAGATTATTTTAAAGTGGTTTTGCATCACGAACCTGTGTTAGTTGGAAAACCGTTTAAAAGTTGGAGTCGGATGAGTGGAGAGCCGTTTCATCATAGTTTTGGACTCTCCCAGAGTGTAAACCCATGGCCCCAAGAGGGATCGAGTCCAGAATCACCGTCTTACGTTAAGCACATTACCACTTAGTCAATGGGTTGGAACCCGGTCATTCACGTTTTCTTATTTCTGTCATCTTAGGGTGTATCATGGCCACCATCCAATATCGTCGGTGAGTGTTTGTCCTTACATCTAATCTGGTTAAGGCCACAGTTCTTGACTTCTCATTTGAAATTTGATCATTGTAATTCATCAACTCAACAAATTGGTCCTAGTTGGTGTATCAGCACCTCAGCTACACCTATTGTTACAAGACTAACAAATGATTCTTCCCGGTTGGTTGACCCTTTGTAGAGGTAAAGACATTCTTGCCAGTAACGCAACACATGAAACTTTGATATTCGAACAAAGGATATCTTGTTATTTAGGAGGAGGTTTTAGTCAGAAATCAATATAGATTAGATAATCACTCAAAAACAGAGGCAATCGGGTAGGTGTTTCATTGTATTTGAGTACTTCTGAACACTGCGTATGTATAAAGCAGTGAGAAAGTGAGCTAGCTCAATACCATCAGTATTCGTGATTACCACTTTGCTATTCAACTAGCTGGTTGGAACACAACCACCCACATTTTAAAACTTCCCGATGTTTATAAAATGTGGAGAAAGTTATCTTCACTAATTTTACGCTTCAAATACCTTAACGGGGTGACAGAATCATCACTGAATATACTAACTCGGATGTATTTATGGAAGTGTATGAGATAACTCCAAACTGTCAGTGCCGCAAAACGACGAAAACGACCCCATAATAGTCTGTTTGTTTGTTGGATATTTCACACAGTTGAACACAATAACCGGCAGATACCTTATAACAAACAATCAAAGTAAACTGCACCATATATTTATCCCAACCAGATACAAGGTTATAAACAATGAATTAAGTATGAAGTCAAAACTGATCCAAACACTTGTCGATTTCAGGTCTTGTTATTGACTATCTAAGATAATAGTTTCCTTAACTATGTGTTTTTAAATAAGTTGTATCTTCCTGCTAAACAGGTTGTTGTACTTCAGTTTTCTGTTTCATCACTACTTTCCTTATTTATGGTTTGACTCACGTAGTGTACATCCTTTGACTAACCGAAGTTTGACTGCGATCGCTAAAGAGATAATCTCCGGAGGTTGGTTACATCTATACACATAAGGAAATTAAAAATCAAATAAAAGTATCGCAAAGAGTAGGGTCTGCATGATGGGACATCTAATTTCAATAACTTTATCCTTAAGTAAGATGAAGAAGAAGGAAGTGTGAAGACAAATGATCATCGTACCAGTGAGCTCAAGTTCTTCTTAGAACAATCTGTATCATGGAAGGAAGTCAGCCAGTAAGTCAGTGAGAACTATAAAGCAAAGTGTAACCTCTTACTTCTGTTATCTTATTCCACACCACTTGAAATCTTACTTTCAGTTGAAAAAATAAAAGTCCATACATCAACATTGTATTCTTCAAAAACGCGTTCACGAAAAACAGTAGTGGAGTGAGTAGTAATGTGAATGTAGATAATAATTTTCAAGAGTAAACATTGGGATAATAACTTGAGAAAAAGGAAGTGAGTATACACTGACAATATGAACAGGAACGCATTAAATATTAATTATTGTGTTTTCTTTATTCAACCAGACTTCTTCTTTATACGCCTAAATTCATATGGTGTTTGTCTGGTACTATATAATGATAGTTTTACTGGTGTATATTCGTCAATATCTTCCTCCATGTCATCGTCATTGTCATCACCATCACCGTCGTCATCATCATCACCATTGTCTATGTCATCATTAGTTTCCGGGTAACTTCGTTTGTGATTTTGTGATTCCATTTTCTTTGGAAAATTTGATGAATTTATACCTTCCACAAATCCTAATCCAACATGAACCTGAAACGGAAGCAATTACAGTCATTTGTTACTGGCTGCAGCTTATTAATTCCATGTATATTTACACATGATTCGTTAAATGAAAATCATTCCAGGTGGGATTGCATATGACATATGTGGTTAAGATGTGATGATCCATTTTATGTTGTTGACTAGAGGTGTGTCACAGCTGTGTATCAGCTCTGTTCATCTTACCTGTCAGATAACTAATACCAAATGGCTGATGTATTTCAAATAAATCAAGAGAGAATAGGTTTATAGAATACGTTGGATCCAATGTGTTTCGTTGTATCCTCTTCAGTTGCATACGGGCTAGTAAGTTGAAAGTGTACATTGTGTTGATCAGTCACCAGTCTAAGTACTCGACCTTCAAGCAATTAGTCTTTGGTTCATGTTCATTGCTACCTCATCAACTGAGTAGTATTATATGCATTCACACAATATGTGTGCATACAACCTACTGCATAAATATTTATAGAAGTTTCTGTTGAATTATTCCACTGACAATTTCGGTTGCATAACTTTCATTCAATTACACTTACACTGACTGAATAAGACTCGAATGGGGATTTCTTCTAACTGGTGAGTTACAAATAAGGCGACACTGTCATTGAACACCTACAATACTTTGAAACACGACAATGGATTCTGATTACTAGAATAATGTCCCCTGCACTATTGAAAAGATATAGGAAGGATATGTGGGAAAGGGAGCTTTATTCCTCTGGAAAAGGGAGAATTCAACTTAAATTATACTTATTTATATAGTTATTTTACTAGGCCAATAACTGCCAATTTTAATACAGATAAATTATCCTCTCTGACATTCACTGCCAATGAATTAACAAAATACCGATGACTCGACCTCTAAGGATGAATGTTTAGTCCATATCTTACATGGGAAACATTGGTCAATCATCTGACTTCCAATTTATCCCACACGCAAAATGTTTGTTATGTATTAAGCGTAACAACCAATAATTAGGTATCTCTTGGAAGTTTGGAACAAGTAATTGTGGACTTGAATTCCTGTGATAACAGCACTGTCGGAACGCTCCCTCTAGATATCATCAGTAATTGACATTAGTTACAGTGAATAATATCACTAATAAAAATAAGATTTTTGACCAGACATTCACTTACCATCTGAATATGTTTAAAAAAGTCTTTTGGATCTTTAAAACTTAATTCACAGGTAGAACAATTTTGCATTTCATCGTGTATGACTTCGAAAGGATGACGTCGCCTTTTACTTTTCTTTTTCACTTCATTCATCTTATCATCAATATCTTCTACATTACTTTGCTGTTCTTGTTGAACCATATCATCATTTCCTTCATTATACTGTGCTTGTGTTGTTACTGAGAATGTTTCTCCTGAAGGAATGAAAACTGAATTTACATTTTTCCGTAATAATGTTATACTACTTCCAGTATTGTCAGTTGTTGATATTTTTGTGAATGCAGATGAGATGGAGCTGTTGCTGCCATTGTAATTTCCCGCGGGTCTGTTATATATAATGCCTGTCAAATGATTTGAAGTATGCTCATATCGTAGGGGATTTTCAACTGGAGGTTTTGGCGGTGAATGTTCTGAAGAGGTTCCAGGATGATTTACTAAATTTCTTACCGTAATCAAATTTTTATTCTGAGATCGAAGAATTCGATTACGTGTAACTGTAGGACATTTATTATGTTGCACTTCATGACTTTTCTTATACTGATCACATTTTGAATTGATCATACTCGAATCTCTACTTACTGTTGTTGCTGTTGCCGTTGTTGTTATGATTAAAGGTAATTGGCCACTGTAATTCACGTCATCAGCAACATTAGGATTATTAGTTGGATCAATGACGTCATTTGATTTGGTGTCTTCATTATTATCTCTGTTTGGCTTTGTCTTCTCTGCAAATCAAGCAACAGAAACAACAAAATCAATAGGTAACCAGTTCTCCTGACTCAAAGACAAGATGGCTGAATAAGACGGTTTATCTACAAATGGACAATATATGAATTATCACGGTTTACATCTGATACGAAACAATCAAGATCTAATGAAGTGCTTGTTTTATAGGATGAGGATATCAGATTACTGACCAGACCACTTATAGAAAACGTGTATTCATAAGCCGTTGTAGAAGTTGGTTGACACCAAATCCCGCTCTGTGTTCAGTCCCAAGAAAAAGCTTCATATCATTCTACCACACAGAGGGGAATCAAGCAGTACGATGTTGAAATGGAGCCTAAGATACTTTATAGGTAAAATAAATATATTAAACAGTTAAACTGATCATTGTGGAAGAGAAAAGCCAAATGCATCATCATAAACCGAAACTTTGCATAATTGATTCCGTCACATCCCACTGTGTTTATCAGTTTATGTGTGTGTGTGAGAGAGAGAGAGAGAGAGAGGAACACACACGGAGAGAGGAGAGATCGAGTTATGCTACTGAGAGTAGATAAACATGTACGTAAATGGCGTTAATACGAGTTAAAGTGCTGAATCTCGGTCAGTGGTGATAAGAAATAACCCTCTTCATTTACACTTAAAATATTATAGAAACAGTGTTCACACATCCTTCAGAATTTTATGTCGGACCACTCAAGAGAGCATACTGAGATTCGTGGAGTCAATATTTATAATGCAAGTTGAAGCCACATTTATGTGTGAAAAGCACTTCATCTTGCATTACATCCACCTTGGTAAACTTCACCTAGTTATCACGATTTGAATCAAATATTTCATTCTTCCTTTAATATCTTTCATAGTTTTTATCTCTTATTGTCATAACTGCTCTGTTTGTCCTCCTATTCTTCGGTTCCATATCAACTGACTTGATAAGTAGACGTGTAATCAGATTGTTCGAAATGTAATGCGCAAATGTGTCACATCACCATCACTTACTGATTCAGTAACTTGAATACAATAGTTAACCAGCTTTTTACATATTCATTCGGTCGAGCAATATTTACCAGTGTAATGCAATGAACATCATTACCTAAGCGAATTCAAACAACAGATTGTTCACAATCCACTCAGTTAAACGACTCAGCATTACACTCCAAATATCAGATTGTTGGAGTTACTCGTCAATAGTTAACAGAAGTCTACTTTCCTTACTTCTAAACACAATTTTGAATGATGTGGTTTCATACCTCGTCAAGAACGAATGAATATATTCTGCATAGTTTACATATCTTCCATAAAATTGCCGAGATGTTTTGAACTGAATTAAAGGTCCGTCTGCTGATCAAATCCCTAAGACTGGAGATTTAACTCGGTACAATATGGTATCTAATTTATCCGTCTAGTCATCACTTCCTGGAATTTATCCATAGACTGAAATTCTGACATTCTGAACGGGGTAAGCAAACTGCCTTATCTGTGGTGACTGATTCCATATAAAAAACAGTCTTCTCATGAATTGGTGGTCGACCGGTATTCAGCTCCGTTTTACCATCATACAATTTTGAGAAACTCAAGTGGTGCATGAAGCAGATGAAAGAAGAAGAAATTTTGTGCTCCCATCAAACTAAGAGATCAAATACTTGATCAAATCAACCAGAAGTCTTGCTTGCGCGAGATTTCATGTTTGTTAACATTTATCAACAAACGATATTGAAACGCTTAAGGCAAATCTTGTTTTTTCTCGGAATAACCTCCTCAAGTCATCAGGAATTCTATGAAGAATAAATATGAATTTACCCGATAGGTTCGAGTGAGCATAAGACCTAGGTGGAGTAGAGGTCACCACTGACTTACTCTGAAATGTAAAATTGACTACTAACTTATTCAGGTGTTAAGATTAAGCGTCTTTAGGAGTGTATAATAAGCAGGAATTAGTCGCCAAATTATTTCCAGTGCAGTGGTGCATTCCTTAAGGCTAATGGAAATCGACTGATCAAGTATAAACTTTGACTATCAATTGAAGCAGCGTAATGTGTACACTGAATTAGGATGTTAGAAGTTAAGTAATTGAGTAAGTAGGACGCCGAGTTTCATCTAGGCAGCATCAAGCTTGTTCAGACTCGTCACAAATTCATACCTGCAAACCATTAAGAATTCATTTGAAATCTTAAATGATATCAAAATGAGGTATGCAACTCACATCATTCTTTTGCGTTCCACAGTTGTACTCATTTCTACGCTGCACATTTGCCAATCTACTGGAATCACTGAAATATTTCAAAAATGTATCTGGCTACTTTTAAAAATTCAGTAGTATAAATTTAGTTATCAATTAAAATGGTAATGCAAACTGGTCAACAAAAATGATACTATGATACTCGCGTCTTGTGTGAGAGTTGGTGTGTTAACCCTAATACCTTGTTAGTCTTAGATTATCTCACATGATTTGATTTATTTTTTCTGCGCTTTTTCATGTTGACTGTCCATCAATCTTCGTATATATCGAAGAAGGTGTTCATTTTATTCCAAAGTTTTATGACATAAATCACAAGATGCTGCCCTAGTCCAATTTCTCTCTAAAAGAGAACCAGATTTTGGTTGGTGAAATTTGTAGGCAGCTATTCTGAAGCTTCTTGTCTATTTCTTTTGATATGCTACTCCATACGATTCAGGTAACCAGATCCGGTTGATCTGAACAATTCACCTCACCAAGCTAAATTTCTTAGGGTATATCACTGATTCGATCAACTGTAAACACGTGAAATAACCGTTGGGCATCAACTTCACAGGTAGATGTAAATAGTATCCAACTCGAATGTCTTTCAGTAGTATAAAAGATGTTTATTTCCTTTCTGTGATCAACTGCACTTCTGATGAGTTTTATTTATTGACTATGAAAATTTGCACAAATAGTTTCTCCCCCTAAATCCTGCTTCTTATCTTTTGTGCTAAATCAACCTGTATCACGTTTCTTGCATCTGATTGTAACCAGTTTCATGGAATGAACTCCATTATCGATCGAAGTTACTGATCAAAAGACCATATAGTGAATGATGTTGGATTTATAGTTCCAGATAACAGATAATGCGGAAAAAGAATGTACAACTTGCCAACGATCATTGCTGAAACCCTTTCTAACAACCTTCAAATTTAATTCCCTCTTGACAATGAAAATTTGTCAGTCGAAATCTCAGTTCTACATTTCACATTCTATCTCTCTACTACAGGTGTATACAGATGATCAATGATCTTTCTGATCAGAGTTGAACGAACTGATTCCACTTGATAAAGAAGTGATAAGGTTCACGCTTACTGATGAAGTCATGCTTTTCTGATAAATACCATGGCAGATGGATATGAAGTAAGTAAGATTGTGAGCCAATATGCTGAGTTTCTGAGATTAGTAATGACACTAAAACTTGGAAGAAGCATTTATTGTAAACTCCAGAGAGAATCAATGGGTTTCCTAGCTATCATCCTGTAGACAGACATAGTGAGGAGACAGATATAGTTCTCGTGTGTTTTTCCCCTTCAAATAAGCAATGTCTATGTATTGACTAGTTACTAGAGAGTTGTCTGTTTCTTGTTGTCTAGCCTTGAGACCTGACCGAATGTGGTTACAAAGCTAAGAGACTAACCATCCCCATACACTTTGGATATGTTTTAATTGTTGGAAGTAATCGACATTAATCCCTGGACTAACATTTCGTGCTTATCGGCATGATTAATGTGGGCATGCTAGACCTGCAGGAGATTAATCTGCACCTGAACAGATCAGTAGGAGCGTTTCTGACTGCATCAGTGTGTGAAGAATGTTCGAATTTCGGACGAAACTTCAGTTCCTCCGAGATCGTAGGTATGTATTGGTGACGAGCACCAACAAGTACGTAACCGAAACAGACCAGAACTTCCTAGCAATTACGTCCAAACAACTAACAAGCAATTTATCTCTATTTGTAGTACGCTAGGTGACTCAGCTAACTATCAGTAGGTTGATAGACAAGTGGGTCAACAGGTAGGCAAGTAGGAAGACCAGAGAACACAACCATACATATATGGCAGACAACGCAGAATACTCGCAGCATTTTACAACACTTGGTTGCGACTAAATCAACGAAGATTCAAAGGTAACAAAGGTAAACTCAGAGGGGTATTTGAATTAAAGAGCAACAAGAGAATAAATTATAAAAATATGTTTAATTTTGGAAAGAAAATAAAGGTGTGCAGTTGTTTTGTTGCTGTCAAGTTTAAACTGCGACACCTACATTCTTCAATCATTGGTTGTCTAGCATGTTATACTCCGTAGTCAGGGATACGTCTACACACAGACAAAACGAGCAGTTGGTAACTGCGATATTTATTGCTGCCCTGTATTCATCTGACTATCCATATATACCTATGAAAGCAGCACTATTCCGACTAAAATCACATATCGGAGGCTGGCTGTGCCGTTGTAATATATAATTCAGTGAACTCATCCGCTGGATATTCATGGTCTCATTGGCTTCTTTCGTCATCCTTGCGACTGTAAGCCGAAGTTCAACATTGCTAACTGGAGAGTTCTTCTTCAAAGGGAGAAAACGCTTCGAATCCACTTTTGATCAGAGACTTATAAGCTTTCAGTGTCTAACGATAACAAATTGGAAAATATTGTACTGTTATACTCAGCATACTCAGTGCTTGATTAATAGCTACATGGTTCGTCGTTGACATAAAAGGTTTAGGCTGGCAAATTCTAATTGAAGCTTCAATATGGTGTTAGATGTTAGGAAGCGGTCAACAAGACGCCCTACACCAAAGTTGTATGCCTGTTAACAGCAAGGCAAGTCTGCAATCAGGATGAAAGTGGTGTTCGGTTGAGGTTTCGAAACTTCACCATTTAGTGTTGAAGTCAGAGACTATGCCAGTAAACTGTTGTGGCCACGACCGAGCTCCTACGGGTGGAACCATCAATGAACGAACAATTCATTACACATGATGAAGTCGGTAAAATAAGTGAAGTTTTTACAATCTGAAATTATTCCCTTGTCAATTTAACAAGGCCAGTGCAAAACGGAACCGGAGTTACATCCTAAATCTCACAGATTCAAGATGCATGCCGATAATTCCCAATTCTGTTAAATGAGGTAGGTGAGTATACAGTGATTATGCAATTGAATTCTTTCCAACCTACTTGTTGATTAGTTCTCTTGATCTGTCAAAATGACTAGATGATGACACTTTCTGACTTAAATCCATTGGACAACTATCAGATGACATACTTCTACTGAGTACAGCGTTATTCGTCTTCGACTCCTCCTCTGTAACCGTAGGTGAGGTTTCATAGAACTGAAGAACAGAATTGTGCTCACTTTTACTCGTGTTTACCACCGGTATCTACAAGAGAGGAAAGAATAGGCGGATGTTGAGAAACATGTAACTCGCATCTATCTGTCAACGACTTGTCATCAAGTACTCACTGACAAATGCTTCCTCCTACACTGAAGTCATTCAATCGTGTACTTTCTGCCCTCTATGGTAATAATGTACAAGATATCGGAGGGTGTTTCAATGGATGAACAGAATTGGTTCATTTCACGTGCAGGAATCTAGTTCGGTGAATAAAATAACGGTCTGCTTGTTGTCTTCTCACTCAAGTGCTCTTACATTTCATATCAAGGACGTAACTGTATACTGCTGAAGACGAATAGAAGAGAAAAAAGCATCTTTCCAATAAACTTGATGGATGTTATGGGAAAGCACTGCTCTAATGGGGTCTGTTCCACTCTACTCTAGACTGGTCGATCGAATTCAGTATCTCAGCTCACTTCACTGATTACTACTGACTTGCTGTGGTCAGACATTAACTATCTTCAAGACGTAAGCAAATGATTATGGTAGGGAAGACCTAGTCAACTGAGTGTGTCCATACCCTAAACGATTAGCCAGGTTATGTTGTCATTCGCTTCATGGTGGCTAACAATGGAGTCCAGAAAGCGCATTTCATCCTATTCGGGATACATCAGCTGGATATGCGTGCAACTCGGTGGGTGATGTTGTCCATACTGACACTAGAACACAGCACTCGTCACTTCAAATGCCAAAAAGTTACCCACTTGGCCATCGGTACATTGGAATCTCACTGGGAACAACACTCACTGAGATGCAGGTACACCCAGCTGAGAAATCTTAAACTGAACAAAGCACGTGTCCTGCACTACACAGCTACCCACCACTACCAAGCGAATTACAAGATAGTGAATAATCAGGCATTACTGAGGTTCCCGTATAGCAGCCCAAATGCCGATTCTGGCCTATGAATTCGATGCCGGCAATTACAAGTGTCAATTGATAATAATTATTCAGATTATTCATCAAATGAACAGTTTTCATACCATTTCAATATACTGATGATTTTTTTAAATGTTCAAGCAGAGTATGATGCCTTAATGAACCAGTCACTGATGTCTAATCAAGTTATGCAAGTCACTTGTATACGTAAGGATATTTTCATTGACTAACCCTATCCTATGCTATATCTTCTGAATGATATTATCATCCTATTGGTTATCGTTTTAATACTACTCAGTATATGTGACTGTGACCGTGCTAGTGCAACTACAGGTATAACTTAACACAATGTGATTGAGCTCATATGAAATGTTTGGTAGAACTACAGGTTTTTATGACAGTTACAATCCTACTTCTTCCTGCGTCATTCTGAATCACTCGTTTAAGTGATAAATACTCACAGTGGATAAATAATTCTTGGTTGAATTAAGAAAACAGCGTAACTATGACAGTGTATATCCGATAGCTGGTAATCAGCTCAATGAGAAGTTAGGGAATACTTAGAGTGTCTTCAAAGACCACCTTAACTGGTGAGATGACCAAGCAGGTTTCCTCATTTTATGAACAACCACGGTTTCAGCCGAAATACCCAAACCTGACTGGTCAATTTTGTAGCCTTTTGATTGGTCTTTCAAGTCACTTGATGGATGGAAATATGGTTGCTCCTTCGCTAGTGATTCTACTTTCAAGCCGTAATCTGTATAACTGATCAGGGATACAATTTTAGATTTCTTCAAGTTTTAGCCATTAGGAGGTTTAAGACACCTTGATGCGTTCAAAAACAATTTTTCATAGAACTGAAATCAAAGATGATACCAGAAGTTTTTGTTCCAATTAAGATTTCGGTAAAGTGTATATCCCTTTGACTAATTCGATGATAGAAACGTCGTCTCAAAATAAATTGACTAGATGAAAGCATTAGGTTTATAATCAATCTATCACTAAATATTTTTATTCTTTTTGGAGGTGGCTTTTGAAATCTTCCAAAGAATCCGCATAGACTGTGGAGTCGTCCAAATCAAATATCACGAAGGATACTCATTGGTGAAGCCGAAGGAAGGTGGCAGTATTTTCCAACTTATCGGAATTTAAAAATTTTGGTGACTGTCACATTTCATTTATATCACTTAGTGTTAAATATGATCACTATGAGATAAACAAATTTCAGAGTTATGAACATGCTGGAGGAAACAGGAACTGCATATTTCTGGGAAATTACACACCGGAAAGTATTAGATCTTTAGTATCTAGGATGGCGTTAAATAAATTCAACTTTTAAGTGCACTTAGCTTGTTTCGTGCAATTCAACACCGAATCTACGTTCTTGATGTCATGTTCAACCTTGAGGTTTATCCAACATTCAATGTATATCGTACCACAACAGTAATCACTCGGCATCTGCTTAATACTGGATATTCAGTCGACATATCAGAATAGTTCAAAGTGATCAATGGGCAAGTGAAACCCACCAACGTTTTGCGCTTTTTCTGAAACAGCTGAAGTTAAAGTACTCATACTTGATCTGTAAATTCAGTAAGGTGATAGTGTTGTCAGTCTTGTCTTAACTTAGTAATTTTAACCGCCTGAATTTTTAGGCATAAGACCTCATTGCCTCATTACGCTCTATTTATTTCATCTTATATTTTGATCTATTTCAACAGTTACTCTCCCTTTGTGAGTTGTATTCATCTTATTACTCATCAAGGTGAAGAAATCTGTCTACATTATATGACGCTTACTTAGCCATCGTGTCAGTTCTCCCCAAGTAGAGAATAGCATTATCTGCAATAATCCTCTCCCAATTTTTCTTCTCCAGAATGTTTATTCTGTCCTTGAATACTCAGTTAACCGTTAGTTAGTCCTAACAACTTCATAAAATTTTATCAATTTCCGTCAATCTATATTACCTTCCAACTCAATCGAAACATTCATGTTGACATATCGAAGGACGTCTTCGTATATCATGAATATTATACTGTGTATATTGTACAGCAGCTGAGAAGAATCCACGAAATACATGCATGCTGGTTCGCCTACTATTATTCTTACTGCCTTATTCATTCAAATTCACTAGAGATAAGAACTGTATGCAGTTACAAAAAAAAGCATCACCCCATTCAGTGCTGAATAACTTAAAGTACTATCAAAACGGCATACTCATCCCCATAATCATATTTTATATTGTTAAGTTTCATTTGGTAACAAGTAGAAGAAAAGTGTACCTTGGCGTTCGACGTTAAAAGTCGATCGCTCGGGAATGTACAGTTCCACTGCAGTATGGCACCTATCTGTCGGCACTCATCAGAAAGGCTCATAAGTGACCTTCAGGGAAATTCATTTTCCTTATAAAATTCAAGTGAGCATAACTCTTCCAGGAACTCGGATATCTCGCTACCAAGCTAATTTGAACATCAATATTTTCTCAACTATCATCTTGATAATAACATACCTCATGGAAAGTTTCATCAAAGCTGGGATGAACTAGAAAACCACTAAAAGCCGGAACAAACTAGAACTGCTATCTGTCAAGGTTAAGAAGAAGTACAGAGACCTGTAGATGATAAATGATGATGATGTGAACTGTTAAATAGAGGCAAAGTGACTCAACGGTCGAATGTTTACCAATCGGCTTGATCGATGGAAAAAGTTATCCTGTGGTGGCTGTTGGGTGTGCATTTGTGAAAAGACTTAAACAAGAATATAATTGATAATGCCTATTACATGCTCAAACCTCTCCTGGTTAACTAGTTCAGTAGTTATTAGCCGGTCCTAAGCCCGCGTAAAGAGGGAAGGTTGGGCATACAGCTAGCAAACTTACACAGTAAAAAAAATCTAACCACTAAAGAAACTTCAAAGCACAAACAAAATATTAAAAATAAAAACAATATTATTCCTCACTGGAATCGGAGAGGCGAAATGACGCCGATTGGTGAAAGCCTTCGGGAAGCCAATTCGCCGATGTGTATTCTCTCTCTCTCACTCTCGATGAAAGCGAAAGTAAACATGGGGACATGGAATGTCTGCACAATGTTTGAAGCTGGCTGGCTGGCTAGCTGTTTGGCTGGCAACGCTGCCCACATTGCAAACGAGATGAGAAGGCATCGCATTCAAGTGTCAGGAATTCGCGAAAGCAGATGGAATGGAAGTGGACTCCCCAAACTATCAACTGGAGAATAAATAATCTACTCCGATATTGTCACCCAGACAACAACCACGAGCACAATGAGTTTTCCAGTGACTATCATGATGTCCCCAACAACATCGAAGGCTCTCTCTCATGCAGTGGGAACCAATCTCCTCCACCATCAGGATCATAACAGCAAGATTCAACTCAAAAGGTAGGAAAGTCACAATCATACAATGCTACGCTACGCTATGCACCTACAAATAATGCAGATGAAGAGAAGAAGGAGGAATTCTACAGACAACTGCAATCAACACTGGACAAGACGTCACTCCAGTTGGAGACATCAAAATCCATTCTAATGGGTGGGGTGACATGAATGCCAAACTGGGAGTGGACAACACAGGAAGAGAACAAACTATGGGTCGAGAAGCACTCGTTTGTGAAATGAACGAGAATGGAGAATTGTTTGCAGATTTCTGTGCATCCAACGATTTGGTGATTGGAGTGAGGCAGTGTGTTCAATCACAAGGATATCCACAAAGCGACATGGATTTGATTTTACCAGATGGACACACTACACTGAAAATCAGATCGACTTTATCTCAATGTGAAGAAAGTGGAGACGCAGTCAGCCTACTTGACACAAGGTGAAGAAGGGGAGCAGATGTAGGCTCGGACCACTCACTATCTAGTGCAAGGAACCTACCTTCAAAATCAAGTTGAAAGCCTTCAAGGAAGTTGGTGATAGACCACAGTTCAAGTACAACACCGACAACAGAAACTGAAGGACGAAACTACAAACGACATCTTCACGTCAGCCATCAAGACAAAATGGGAGATATCGAGCAGCATCCCTGCAGAAACCTGTGTGAATGAACACTGGAACTCTTTGAAAGCTATGTGGAAAGAAACCTGCATAACTGTGTTAGGAAGGAAGAAGAAAGAAGCAAGATAAGGAGTGAATGTCGGTGGACACATGGAAGCTGATATAGGAGGGGGAGGAGTATGGTGAAGCAGAAGATAAACCAGTAGAGTGCAAGGATGAACAACGAGACGAGGAACTGAGTACAATGTATAGAAGACTACACTGGACAAAGAAGTGAATAAGAGTGAGCGGAAAGACAAAAGACACTTCAACGACACACTGTCAAGTGAAGCAGAACAGGCTGCAGGCTGCAGGTAGGAGAGACAGGGACCTGACAACATTGTATCAAATAACCAGTTTAGTATCTGGGAGTGGAGAGATCAACACATGTGAAACCAATGGGAAATGATGATGGAAATTTAATTACGAAAGAAGAGAAACAAAGTAAACGATGGGCTGACCACTTCAACAAGCTCTTGAATCGACAACCACCAACACCACCACCAACTGCACTTCGTCTAGAAATACCACCTGCAGCCTAGTCACAGAACTACAAGTGAACATAAATCCTCCAACAGAAGTCGAAGTTCTGAGCGTCATAAAGCCACTGAAATGTGGGAAAGCAGCAAGACCAGATGTAATCCCACCAGAAGCACTGAGAACAGACACAGAGACAACAGCAGCCGTCACGCTCACACCACACCACTATTGCAGAATGTCTGGAAGGAAGGGAAGGTACCTACCTATTGATTGGAAGAAGGTCTACCTTGTCAAATGCCCGAAGAAGGGAGACCTCAGTATTTGCAAGAACTGGCGAGGAATCACTCTCCTGTCCACCCAAAGCAAGCAAAATATTAAGCCGCATCATCCTGGAGAGGCAAAATGATACACTGGATTCAAAACTACGACCGAAACAGACTGGTTGGCTGTCTGGATTCAGGAGGTACAAATCATGTGCAGACCGAATTGCAAAACCATGCAACGCATCATCACAGAACAGAGTATAGAATGGCAGTCAACTCAACTCTACCTCAACTTCATCGACTTTGAGAAGGCCGTTGACAGTGTCGACCTACAGGTTATTTGGAAACTGCCTCAACACTACGGAATACCACAAACATTTATCAGCCTCATTCAACATTTATATGGAGACGCCATATGCCAAGTGATTCACAATGGGAAGCTCAGTGATGCCTTTGAAGTGAAGTGAAGACAGGAGTAAGACGAGTTTACCGCTTACCATCACCTACGATATTCCTGATTGTGGTCAACTGGACTGGATCATGCAACAAACTGTGGGAAGCGAGAAGAGGGGGATACGCCGACTGGACTGCGGAAAACAATCTAGAAGACTTGGATTTCGCCGATGATGATTTATGTCTGGTGTCTCATAAACTTGAATATCTACAGGCGAAAACTAACAAGTTGGCAGAAGAGGCGAAGCAGCGAAGACGCGACTTCAAGTGAAGTGAGTGTAGAGAAGACGGTGGTGGTGAAGATACTCAATCAACAACACCACCAACAACAACAACAAACTCCAATCAGCATCAACAACCGGAGAAACTTGAAGGAAGTAGCCTCCTTCATCCTTCTAGACAACATCGTTTCAACTACAGGCGGCACAGGCACAGACGAGGACGTCAAAGCCAGCCAGCCAGCCAGCCAGCCAGCCAGCCAGCCAGCCAGCCAGCCAGCCAGCCAGCCAGCCAGCCAGCCAGCCAGCCAGCCAGCCAGCCAGCCAGCCAGCCAGCCAGCCAGCCAGCCAGCCAGCCAGCCAGCCAGCCAGCCAGCCAGCATCGGAAAGACAGCAAGACAAGCTTTCATTAGCCTGAAATCAGTGTGGAGATCTTCTGCACTGCACTCAGCATTCGGCGTGAACAAGATGTGGATTTTCAACACCAACGTGAAGTCAGTGCTTCTATGTGATGGTTCAGAGACTTGGCGCGTTAAGAGAGGCATTTCCAACAAACCACAGACACTCATCAACAACTGCCACCTACGCTGGCTGCTTACTGAAGATCAGATGGACTACCAGAATAATAAGAATAAACAACAAGGAACTCTGGCTGGCTGGCTGGCTGGCTGGCTGGCTGGCTGGCTGGCTGGCTGGCTGGCTGGCTGGCTGGCTGGCTGGCTGGCTGGCTGGCTGGCTGGCTGGCAACGAACCAACGAAGCAAGAAGCTATCACTGAACAATATACAGTGGAAGGAAGTGGAGATGGATTGGGCATACACTGAGACATCATGCGCCAGGCCATGCCATGCCAGACCGTCGAGTGGAATCCGAAGGGGAGGTGACTAGTTTGGCGTGCCAGTTGAGGGTGAAATGGAGGAGATGGTGTGAGGAAGAAATGAGAGTTTGTGGGTAGTTGTGGCATGAGGTCAAAAAGATTTCAGAGAACAGAGTGGAATGGAGACGTGCTGCAGAAGCCCTACGTTTCACTAGGAACCCAAGGGACAAAATAAATAATAATAAAATTGCATGCTCATTTTACCTATTTATCTTGTGAGTCAATTAATCCCCCTGCAAACCAACTCTTATCTGATATTATATAAAAAATTATGAATAGGTAAGTGTACTCACCGCCTCATTTTTAGCACAACTTGTTGAAAGTGTTAAATGTATCCAATTGAAAAGTTGTTTATTCACTTCATTATTGAGTAGATATTCAACTTGATTTCGAATTAATTTATTTACAAGTAATTCCATTGTGGATTCACACAAATGATTTAATAATTTATATGCATAACAGATTTCTGCTGGTGACATTTTATTCAAAATATGCAACATGGAATCAACCTAGAAAATTAATAATCAAGTAGTAATTAAAAGGAAATGAAATTTTCAAAATTATATGCACATATTTACAGTCGACTGAAATCTCCTCACTGTTAACTGATCAAATCTGTTTGTATCAGCCATATTGATGGTAATTTTGAGGCGAATGATTGAATAAAGTGGGACAGGATAATTTTCCAATTCTTCCTTCTTTCTTTCTTTCTTGTATGCTTGCTTGTCTAACACAGTGGTATTGAAATTCGAACAGAATAAATAAAACACACAGAGGTAATATTTTATTGATTCACTTGTCTGTTATACATCAACTCCAAATGGATATGATGCATTCGCAAAAATTACACACATATAGACATCACAAGTGACTAATCATTTAAATTATCCAGTCTATATACAATATAATCGATGTATCTAAATGTATGTTAGCATAGAAGAGATCGATTTATACGGGATTAATCAATAATTGTATGACTGACTGATTGATTTTCAATAGTCTGACGCAACATTTCCCAGCATAACTAACTAACTGGCTTCCTGACTAGCTAAATAAATAAGTGAACCAGTAAAATAAATACTGAATTAATTAATTTCCACAAGTCTCACTTATTGTCTACTCCATTCACCTATTAAACTAATGAGCTTGGTGTAAGAAGGCTTTAGTCAGGAAGACGAACATTATTTATTCTCACTTTATTACTCTTACTTGTGTCAGGATTAAATATCTTATCGAATTATTGAAACTGTCTGATATTCGTATCATGGATGACTTCAGATTTCTGTGATCATTTGAAGAGTAGGAGCAGCAGTATGATACAACATTACGGATAAACGTGAACTTCAGCTGTAGTTGAAAGGATCTGATAAGAAAATCAACAGTTGTGTAGGAGTCAGGTGGGAAATTCGAAAGTTTAAAATGGTATCATGACAATTTTGAGTAAGATTAAGACTGTGAATAATGGGGATAAGCAAGGTACGTTCGCATCAGAATGGTCTCATAGCTTGGCTATCATAGGTATCTGAAGGAAAAGAAGAGCAAAATAGTTGGCACTGTGCTAGATTGTAATTCCTGACAGGCGACCTGGAGGCCAGCCGTTTGAATCCTGCTACAAACTAGGTTTTCGCTTCACCTTCAGTCATTGTCCAACATGAGCAACACTAGCTTGCCAAAACACAGCTGTTTCATATGATCTCATTAGTTGGTATTACAAATGCATCACTGAGTAAGGAAGATGAGCTAGTTGCGTTGAATTGCAGAATCAGGGGTAGATGAAATGAGATATTACACACTGATGTTTAAGAATGACCTTCACATTCGAATACTCGCTGAAACTTCATATCATTTCAGCGTGGGTATAGTGATACTGAGACTCAATAGACACCTCAGTCGAATACTTTTACAACTGACCTCCCTCAGTACCTTCTGCTTCACTGAGCTGCGATAAATCAAAAGACGAAAACGGCCTGTGACTGCAAGAACAACAACTTTAGTAGACAAATACATTTACAAAACTCAGAAAATGAAGCTATAAATAAACCAATCCGATTTGTTGTATGATGTCGAATTTCTCCAATCAGGTTCTCATGTCAGTGCATGTATAAATCATGATCTGAAAACAACTTCTCTATTGGTTGCCTTTTGTTGCTACGTTTCACACAAAACGACACTCATTTATTGCAGAGAAAATACAATATACCTAGGTTTCATTGTGCATTGATGAAGAAGGCAGGCCTTGACAATGAAAGATTATCTTCTGACAAACCACCAAATAGTAAATTGAAGTGTGTGTGTGTGTGTATGTGTGCAGCAAATACAACAAGATTTGAATAAATATAAAACCCTACTTGGCATGTTGTATACACATATATTCCAGGCCTAAAGTGGCAAATCATTGTCCAATATGGTCATCGAACCCCCGAAATCACTATAAAATAATTAATGTAATCAGTTAGTATGTAGGCAGGTTAGGCAATACTTGACTGACTGACTAACTGACTGACCGAATGGATCGTAAGTTATTTCGAAGGCAGACATGAGAATACTTGGATGGGTGTTGTTAATATGTAATGAGTAAACTAACTACTGATTGTACCGGAAGACAATGACAGACAATATGCGATAGGGAAGGTAAAGGTACGTAGTGTAGAATTAGACGTTTCAAGCTTTTCTCACATGAAGCATGATTCTTCTATTCTCTCACGTTACGTTACTACAAGTGCTTACAGAATAAATGATTTCATATTTGATTGATTACGAATACACGTGTGTGTGTGTGTGTGTGTGTGTGTGTGTGTGTGTTAGTAAACCACTAGGATGTAGGGAAATAAATAGTTTCACTATGCTATCAGTGTATATGAGCATGTCAGGCAGGATAATTTCAACATCACATTACAGACACACACAAACATACACACGCGTATCCGTAATGTTAATTTACCGAAAGGGTTGCGTGTAGGTATGCACCAATTTGGACAGTCACCATCATCATCATGATTTAGTCTTCCATGAAACTGGTCATGGAGAATGAGGTTAGAGTAGTGCAGTATGAACGTGGAATTTGTACTCTGATACTCACAGAGGTAGGAGTATAGTGACATGAATGAAATCGTATACCTGACAGTTGAATGGGAAGTCATCTTTCTCTCTCTCACACCGAAATATTATGTTTTCAATCACAACACTCCTTTTCAAGGAATAATAATGAACATGTTCCCTTGTGCTTAGGCATTATACAATCGGAATTGTTATTTTGAATTCTATGAAAATTGAAGAGTGAAAAGCACGTGACGAATGCTAATAGGCAGTAAATGTACACATTGCTCATTCATGAATGAAACTCACTGTGAATTACATGGACGACTAATCATCACACATCAACTACCTTCCCTCATTTTGCATTCTGTCTTCATCTTGTAATATCAAGCCGTTAGTAAACATGAGACTAAACTTTCACGGGTTCCGATGGACAACTAATCAACATGTTACTGAAGGAGCAGTTACTTCGTTCATGAGAAGAATAACAAAGAGTTCTGAAATGACTGTCAGGTAGTGATGCCTCCTTATTTGGTCTAAGCAACTACTCCGTTTCACTTATTTCCAGCTTCTATTCAATGAAATGACATAGAATTAGGAAGTGCATGGTAAAGTGCGAATGTGAAGTAATCAAGAATTGTTGCAGTGAGTATAAGAATTTTAGTATATTAGTGTATTCTTTCCCCGGATTCCTGACAAGTGTTCAAGTCAGCAAGATATGCAGTAAATAAATGCGTGCAGATGATGACTGCATTACAGCAGAAGTGGCAAACCACACCCTAGGTCATCAGGATGAGCTAATAAGCCAACTGTAAAAAAATTTCACATTTAATTTGTTTCGGAATCTTTTTGCTGCTGATGTTGTCTAGAATAGCAATGAAAGCTTCACGGTTAAAGGATCCAAAAACAGATACCGTAGGATTCTATGCAAAAGCCAGATTCCTATTTTTGGACAGCGATTGCGCTAGTATTCTAAAAGTGATTTCAGAAACTAGTAATCGTATCTTCATATGTTCTTGTCTATCATCAACAAAGTTATTTTTCAGTTGTTTAGTGATCCATCATAATAAAGAATTAATAATTTCACCTGAAGTTAACAGCTCACCAAAAAGCAGTAACAGAATATGAGGTAACTCAGACGGTGCCATCAACAATTGATTGCTTGATACTAAGTGAATGACTCTGAAATAAACTTTCGAAAATAAAATTCGAGAGATATTATTTTATGAGGACGACTAGGTGAAGACTGATGGTGGATATCCACTGAAAACACTGGGTTGTCGTCAAAGTATACAAGAAAAAATTACCAGTGAAGTCTCACCATCCAACCGACGAACTGAGTGAGTGGTAATATACTGATTGTATAACCCAATATTCCAAGGTTGTCTTAGTTTAAAGTCCAGTATTCGTACTACCATGAGATACTAAACTATTGAAAAACGAATCCTGATCTCTTTAAGGCTTTCAATGGTTCGACAAATGAAGCTGACTCGTATTGGAAACTATCTATGAAATAATCATTTCTCTTCATAATGCCTAGCGTCATGCCAAGACACAGAACTTCTTCAGTTCAATCTGTGCAGTATACTTTGAACGAAAACTGATTCTTGTGGTAGCTATACTTTAAAGGACACCCTGGTTTCATGATGCTGCTTCACATTTGTGACTACATCCCTGAAACGTCTACATCAGGAATTCATACAGAGATTTAGTTTAGTGATGAGTGCTGTTTATCAGGAATATTCTTCTTCGACCAACTATCATACACTTTGACTGAATAATCAGTAGAGTAACGCAGATGAAATTCTATTTGTCATTGACAAGTCCTCCGCTCAAGTGTTTTCATATAGATACATGTATCTACTATGATAAACAAAACACTCCCATACAACTTCCATGCTTTGAATGAGGCAACTATTATGTGTAACAGCAACACATTTAATGATTACAGAATGCAGTTGATTATTCTCAAGACATTGGATACGTAGAATCAAAGGTCGACTTCAAAATTACCTCTAGAATTCATACTACTGACAAGCTGATTCAGTACGCTAAAATTTAACAAGGACGTTGATCATCACGCTAGATTATTATATTGAAATAACTCTGTGAAAGATATTTATAAAGCGTGAGAACTGATCATTTCTGTTGTTGAGCATCAAGTGGATGTTTAGGCAGAATGCACACATGTTAGAAATGTTGATATTAAGAATTAATTGATGTTTTTAACTTTGTCTCCAAGTTACCATAGAGATAAGGAGGGATATACTTCACCTACTTATCTGCTTCATTGTTCAAACAAAACATACGGAATATTAAAAGAATCTTTTTGGCCTCTTTTATTTGTAAAAAGTACTCACTTTGTATGTTGTAATGTGAATGAGAATAGTAACATGAAGATAATTCCTGTTATGAATTTACTCAGGTAGACAAAACACTAGAAGACGCGCTTGATAGTTACTTCGTCGTTGGCTGTAACTAATAATCAGGATCTCACACTGCCAGTTGAATGTGGTCTTGAATACAGAACAATCAGAAATTATTAGGACTGGATTGAAATTCAGACAGTGGGTTAAACAAAATTCAAGTAGAACTTTTATTCTCTTAATCGGCACTGAATGTAACAAGAATACAAACATCAACTGGCATCAATAAGCATTTATCCTCACTTTAATTAAACTTGGATAACTTTCAGACTACAATAAACCTATTAAAAACACGGTTATGTGAACTGAAGGTGACAACAAGTGTTGGACTTGGAGTAGTGTTAAAGCCGTAAACACATTTTGCTTTCTCTTAGACTGCAGTTGTCGACTTCTATCCAACTGATGTCAGTCATAGATTAAAAAAACTACATGCAAACAGGTTACTGCTTCACAAAATTAGCTTTATGCTTGAAACTTGACTAAAACTTCGTTTCGACTATGCCAATGCTGAAGTACTCTCGACGTTGTGTCATTCATTTAAGCAATTTTGTCATTTTGATGGAAAGAGCTCACCATTTTGCCGCTATTGTTATACTTCTCTGTTCAAATTTGTGGCATGGAGCGTAATAAGGATGGATTTCATCTGAATGATTGACACTTTAGTTTCACTGAAGCGACTCAGGTTATCATAGTCCGGTTGGTAAAAAATCTTCTCTGGGGAGAGGTGCGTCTTTTTGACTAGTTGATTCGCTTCAACTGAAGAGGTGTACATTACACTGCTGACTAGTTACATTTTATTGGCAATGGGGATTCCTTTTATTTTGAGTGAATAGTTAGAAAAATCTAGTTAGCCACATGTTAGTTATTTCGATCCAGTTAAATAATCACCTTTTTTGGTTGCGTTAAGGGTTTCCTTGCATTTTAGTCGGATGATTTCTGTATTTAATTTGCCTCGAATAGGGTAGTTTACTACGTCTAGGTCGATGTGGTGATTTATTGCTAATTTAATTGAATCCCAAACCTCTAAGATATCACGGGACACTTTTGAAACCATCACGTTCAGGTATACCCAAGTTGTTCCAGTCAAAATGTTTGTTTGTGGTTGTCACATTGCGTTGAGATAAGAAACATCACATCATGACGTTTGCCAGTTAGCTTTCGTTAGTGCGGATAACATTGTGATGCTGTTCTATTTGATTGTCGCATGTGGTGGTCTTGCAATTATTCAAAGTGACTTTGTAGATAACCTAACATTGGCCGTTTGTTGTTTATGTACCGGGTCTCTTAGTTTACATAGAATATGTTGTAGAGATTTCATTGGTTTTTATGGAACTGCAGTTCCAAGTGGATACAGCAAACTGGCTGTTGTTATCGAGATATTTTTGATGTGTAGGAGAACGATTCTTGTGTTAACAGTAGTAGCAAATTTTGATTTTATTCGTTTCGAAAGACATCTCTTGAAATGTTTACCGACACAACGCTTTATACTACTGAAATACATTCTTATCAGTAGCACACACTGCTTATGTGGTTGTATTTGTAACCTCACTGATGAATGAACAGGTGGAGGAGGACTGGTTTTCCTGATTTTAATAGGACAAATTCATGAAATAAGTGATTCAGGATATTCTTGTGAGTGAGAGGTTGTCTCAGTTTGCATTAGGGAAGCCTGTCCACGGACAACAGCGAATTTTCATTCATTGCCTGATGTTATGTATTTCATCATTTGTAAGCAAGGTCGATTGACTAAAAATTAAGCTGCTTGATAGTCTAACCTTATAGTTTTTTCTTTTGGCTGTCTTTGGCTCTGAGTATTGTAGTCTACGTTAACTTTAAACTCTTCTGACTGTCTGTTATCGATATTTAGGTGATTCGTTTTTTAAGAAGGTTCATTTTAACACTTCAAACTTTTCAACACTGCGAAAATCACCGTTTCCCTTATCATTATTATTGTTGTTCAGATGCTCATAAAACTAGAGTCCACTTCATTTCGTTATCAGGATCCAGACTCATGAAGACATCTAGGAGGAAAAAGACTCATATTCAGTTGAATATCATTTCAAACAAATGCTTATTTCTCATTGGTGAAATTCCATTAGATCCAATTGTAGCTGAGAATGGAATAAATCGAGTATTAAAGTGTTATGGTTTCAAAGCGCTAATGGTTATATATATATTCCGGAACGAATATAATACGCGCGCTCAGCTGACAGCTAACTTGGTACGCAAGAGACACTAACTGCAACCCCGGGACGAATAGAGAGAAGACCAAAGCTGGCAGATGGGAGTGTGTTACTCCGAGAATATAATATAATATAATGAATCAATCCAACACACGTGAATAAGTATACACATGAAAACTGACCTTGTCCGCAATCGGAGAAATTCGCGTAGTAAGAGTAAAAGCTAATCAATCAGCGAATTACATTACAATGGAGGCAGAAAATAGACTATTAGTCATACCGCCAAAACGATGTGGGAATGACACGTTAAAATGTCCAGATCAATAACAATGTTTTATACAAAACTGGGGCATCACAATATAAACATTGAACAGCACAAATGATACCGCCTTGTCTTACTTACGTAAGTTACAAGAAGCAGTCACATAAGTCTTCAGTAAGTGAAAATACTCGGAGATGAAGATAGTAAAGATAATAATGATAATGAGTTCTTTCACTAGTTAGTTAAATAAACGTCACTAGTTTTGAAAGAGAAGCTGCTTCAACACTACGGAGTGCCAAAAATCTCTATCAACTTCGTTCAACAGCAGCTATATGCTATATGATGCTACATGCCAAGTGATTCGCAATGGAAAACTAAGCGACACCTTTGAAAAAAAGATAAGAAAAAGACAGGGCTGCCGCATACTATCACCCATAATCTTCCTGATTGTGGTCAACTGGACTGGGTCATGCAACAAACTGTGGGAAGCGAGAAGAGGAGTATACGCCGGCTGGACCGCGGAAAACAATCTAGAAGACTTGGATTTCGCCGATGACTTGTGTCTAATGTCTTGTAGCACAGACTTGAAGATCTACAGGTGAAAACTAACAAGTTGGCAGAAGAGGCAGGGCAGCGAAGACGCGACTTCAAGTGAAGTGAGTGTAGAGAAGATGGTGGTGGTGCAGATACCCAACCAACAACACCACCAACAACAACAACAAACTCCAATCAGCATCAACAACCGGAGAAACTTGAAGGAAGTAGCCTCCTTCATCCTTCTAGACAACATCGTTTCAACTACAGGCGGCACAGGCACAGACGAGGACGTCAAAGCCAGCCAGCCAGCCAGCCAGCCAGCCAGCCAGCCAGCCAGCCAGCCAGCCAGCCAGCCAGCCAGCCAGCCAGCCAGCCAGCCAGCCAGCCAGCCAGCCAGCCAGCCAGCCAGCCAGCCAGCCAGCCAGCCAGCCAGCCAGCCAGCCAGCCAGCCAGCCAGCCAGCCAGCCAGCCAGCCAGCCAGCATCGGAAAGACAGCAAGACAAGCTTTTTCATTAACCTGAAATCAGTGTGGAGATCTTCTGCACTGCACTCAGCATTCGGCGTGAACAAGATGTGGATTTTCAACACCAACGTGAAGTCAGTGCTTCTATGTGATGGTTCAGAGACTTGGCACGTTACAAAAGGCATTTCCAACAAACCACAGACACTCATCAACAACTGCCACCTACACTGGCTGCTTACTGAAGATCAGATGGACTACCAGAATAATAAGAATAAGCAACAAGGAACTCTGGCTGGCTGGCTGGCTGGCTGGCTGGCTGGCTGGCTGGCTGGCTGGCTGGCTGGCTGGCTGGCTGGCTGGCTGGCTGGCTGGCTGGCTGGCTGGCTGGCTGGCTGGCTGGCTGGCTGGCTGGCTGGCTGGCTGGCTGGCTGGCTGGCTGGCTGGCTGGCTGGCTGGCTGGCTGGCTGGCTGGCTGGCTGGCTGGCTGGCTGGCTGGCTGGCTGGCTGGCTGGCTGGCTGGCTGGCTGGCTGGCTGGCTGGCTGGCAACGAACCAACGAAGCAAGAAGCTATCACTGAACAAATATACAGTTGAGGGAAGTGGAGATGGATTGGGCATACACTGAGAAGGCTGACTGGGGACATCATGCGTCAGGCCAGGCCATGCCATGCCATGCCAGTCCGTCGAGTGGAATCCGAAGGGGAGGTGACTAGTTGGGCGTGCCAGGTGAGGGTGAAATGGAGGAGATGGTGTGAGGAAGAAATGAGAGCTTATGGGTAGTTGTGGCACGAAGTTTAAAAGACTGCGAATAACAGAGTGGAATGGAGACGTGCTACTGAAGCCATATGTTCCATTGGGAACCCAAGGGACGAATAATAATAAAATAAATTTTGAAAGGGGTTTAGCGTTTCATTCTATCCGGGACTCGTCAGCTGGTTGAAACTCGTATCTGTCGCAACAGAACACTAGAATTACTGTTCTTATTTACACTTCCTTATTCATTTAGATCAAGGTCGTATTTCGAAGTGCGAACCATCTTTTTGCATCTCTCTAATCAAAAGTGTAGTCATGAAAGAATGATTTTAGCGTTTCCCATGGAGTTTACAAAGTGTAATGAGCAGTAGTATGTTGAACACAGAGAAAACACCATCTTAGGAACTATTGCTGAACTAGTTTTACTATGCATTATGAAATACACTCCATATCAGTAACCTACTACATGAGTATTTGTAAAAACATTATTTTTACTAAACTTCATTAACAGCGCTACCATAGTAACAGTTGTTACTATTGTTGTCGTTATTATTATTATTATCAATTGTGTTGTGTGGTTCTGTTTATCCCTTACTATTTATTATATTCTGCACTTGTATTTGTATTAGTCTGTACTCTTCAGAAAGGATGAAAAAGCTTCAAACGTAATTGGTTAATTCTTTTATCAATGTTCAGTCTAACTTTTAAATGTCCCTATAATCACCTCAGTTCAAACGATAGATTATTTCACTCGTAAAACAGTAACAAAACGGAATTTCTAAAGATCATACTATTGTATATTTGGATCCGTTTATTAGTTTTAAGAAAAGATTAACAAAATTATCACCTGCTAAATCATTTACTGTAATAAGTAAGTCTCGTTTATTGATTGTAGTCATTTCCTGCTGGTTATTGAAATGGATGAACTGATTGACGTTTGTTAGCATATGGGCTCCTATGCGGATCCCATGATGTAGTTATCGTGTTATAATTAACTTGGTGATGGTTAGCAATGGAAACCAGAATTTGCGTTTCTCCCTGTTTGCGACTCATCAACTGCATTTAACCCCACCTCAGTGAATGGTGGTGTCCTCACTCTAGTCACAAATGCATCATTACCCACTAGACTTCTGAGTCACTAAGTTTCAGTCTTCTACTCTGGATATGAACATAAATCTATCTCCCATTTATCACTCAGACAGTTACAGAGTGTTATGAATTGTTTATAAGGGTGTAGTACACGTTCCTGGCACCAGAATGGAACTAGGGCTAAAATAAATAAATAAAGTTTTATTAACTAAATAAGCATCTACTTCGCCCGCGGATGCTTAAGATGTTTCAGGTTTTGTTTTAACGGGTATGCATCCGAGCAGGCTTTGAAGCCATTTGCGCTCCCTTTATACTGTTTAACACGCAGGTCCTCAAAGTTCCTAGTTCAGCCATACTAGCCAGATAAGTTGGATAAAATGTATCCCCAATAACTGCTATTACATTCATATTACTTCTTTGAATATATTCCTGAGTGCCAGTCCTTCTGACTTGTGTTTTATTATCAGTGCTTACACGTTAGGTAAGGTACTGATTAAGCAGATGCTAGAACACTTCGAGTTGTGTAGGGTTGGTTAGGCGTTACGCAATAGTAACACATATAGTACCCCTTACAAGGGTTTCAAAGTGTCAACAGCTGAATTCGGACTGACTGGCTGAATCTTAAATTGCTCACTGCAAAAATTTCACGTTACAGGCGTCATTCGGTGTACTGCCAGGAGTTTGTGCGTGTGTGTGTTTGTGAGTTGTTGACGAATCCTAAACGAAACTTCAACAACTCTGCAGTGTTAATTATTTTTCAGTGTCCCATCAAATGACACCAGTCAATTTCTAGTTAATATTTAACTACACAACTAGATTGGTAACTCATAAATCATACAACTGAGTAATGTGATAATTATTTATTCTAGTTAGGTTAACTGACTTCTTTATATCTAACGGGTTACCTTGAAATGTTCCTGGATCTCTGATGTCTTCTGCTAGTTGTATCACTTTGTTGCATATCTTGGAATGTTACAAACACTATCGACTTGTGATTGCAAAAGCTTCAAATTTGTTGGTCAACACTGGATCAGCAGAACGGAACTGATGACGTAACTCGACCTCAGTCAATCGGTAATCTACAGTAAGGACAATTGAAGGAAACTGATGACTGGGGAAACTGAATGATGTTTGAAAGGTGGGATCGTTTGGACAAATTATACACAGAAATGGAGATTTCTCGACAAATGTCTGTGTTTCCATAGTGAATGTGATCAGGCGATGAATCTTAGGGTATTCTGAGGGATTACAACTTGCATATGATACTAGTGAATCATGTCATGAGGAGTGCAGGCGGGGATAATTTGTCTACTTTACAGTTGTGTAAAACTTAAGGAATTAGTCATATAGATCACTGACCACCGAAACTTATTTAATATTCACGTTAATATCTGAGAAAGACTCACGTTGACCAACCATTCCATAAATATAATGACGTTATAATTTAGAGTGAAATGAACAATAACCATCTGTACTATTCTAAACCATCGGGATATTCAGTACCTGCCAGTGTACTGTCGACTAAGATCAACTAATGACAGAAGTATTCATAATACAACCTTACTGCATATCATTACAAAGTGCAAAATAATGCTCAGACATTTGTTTGTTGAACTCCATTTCACCTCAATACACAGTGAAAGATGCGTTGATTTTGATCACTGAAACTCTAAAATGAAAATTCAGACCATCTTGTCTTGAGGTGATATAAATTACGGAGCTACTGGAAACCAGAGACTCCTGACCAGCTATTTCTTCGTGTATCGTGGGTGCATACTGCTGAGGAGTCTCGCAGCAGTTACCCAACTGATATCATTTTCTTGCTGAATATACCCTGACATAAATAAAATCCACATTAAACTCAAGATACATTTATGTCTACCTAATTAAAATGAAAGTTCTCCTTAGAAGAGTATGTGGGCAGAAACTCGAATAATGTAAACTATTAGGGGAAAAACAATCATGTAGGTCAGTGAGCAGATATGTTGGTAGTAATAAGAAAACAAAATGTAACAGAACATAATGAATAGGACTCAGTCGATTAAGATTGAGGTTCAATGTGCAGGGAATGACAGGATTATGACGTAATCAAACAAGTGGAAGATGAAGAAATTAGGCAACCATATCAGTTGAAGATTTACGAGAGTTTCTTCCTTTTGACAACAAAAATTTCGTTTCAGGTGTTTAACTGTAATAGCTCCAGTGAAGCGAGGAGAATTTGAATAATTCTGTCTGTTACTTATTATTTCAAACGATTCCAGAACATCTGTCTGATGTGCCATGTCCACGGAGCGTTCAGTTTTCACACTATTGAGAATACTTCCTCTTATCAGTCGTGTACTCTTCGGAACATGTTCATTTGATTTTCTATAGACTTCTGTTTGTCTTCAGTTATTTCCAGTGGTTCTTAGCTGCTTTCGGGGATCAGAAAAGCAGATATTGTATGTTGTAATATAATCATGCCTTACATTCAGTATACACAAGAAATCCAAAGAATTAATCTCTTTTCTACCTCATTAAAAAAATTAAGAAAACGTTTAAAATTCTAGTTTCTAGAAAGATTCATTGAAATAAACCGGATAACATTAAGGGTAGACGATTGAAAGAATAAACAAAGCAAACAGTGTTAAAGAGCGTGAAATAGGAATGAATGTGCATACTTTTCTTGAAGTTAAAATAATAATTCCGTCCACAAAATAACTAGGACTTTAACTGTCTTCAAACAGTGAAGATGAAGGTTTTTTCTCAGAAGCTTTCCACAAATGCTATGATCACCGTCTGTGTAAATCGACATTTGGATTAGTTATTTAACTGAAGTCAATGAATCACCTATTCAGAAGAGAAATTCTAATAACCTCTGGTTCTCTTCCTTCAGATGCATGTTCAAACATGATGCCGAATATGTGTTGAAAGGAATCTCTGGTTGGTTAAATGGAAATACTTTCCTTGTCACACACAGGAAAATAGTGCACGCACAAAGACGGTTTACAGTCACAGAAAGATTTCTTTATTAGATATTAATTAGGTGGAGCAATCGGTAGGAAACCGTAGACTTAGGTTTCACGCTTTTTTGCACTCGTCAGTAAGTTGCATCTGCAGCCTCTATAGAACTGAGATTCGAAACCACATCACTCAGTGCTGCAGTGATAGACTTTACCACTGAGTTCTTCCGGCCTCTTTGTTCTTAGCAGAGCAAATTGTATGCTACCAGCTTTCTCAAGACAAATCATCTATTGAGAATATTTCTAATAAGTTTCACATCATTTAACTAAGTGAAAAACTGACCGATCATCTTTCTTAAGTGCTGAACAATTACGACGTTGCAGCTCCACTAGTTACTATCCACCCATTGATTCATGTAGTTTCCTGTGCAAATCAACACCCTTGAGTTAGATTTCTTATCAAGAGAAGCACATCTGAACAGTTTTCAGATGTGCGCTCCGAGTCATCATTATATCAAGTATTCAAAGATTAATGTGTTTCTCATTCATTTTGTAATCGAAAACTTCTTATTTTCCCCTCTATACACACACACACTCATACATCTTACTCACGTTTTGTTAGAAATGGCTTCCAAACAATCAGATAAACAGTTTATACTGTCAGAGAATGAATTCAACAAAATGGCTTATGACAATACAGGTATGATGATGAATTCACAGGATATTGATGAAATGCACGTGCAAATATGGGAGCAATTCGACTTGCCCAGACCAAATCAAGTCAGTCTGTACACAATGCTGATCAAGATCGATACAGCTGTTGGGGTCGATTTACTCACTGTATTCGAAGTGAGTGTTTTGTATGCATCCATATACATACACTTATTATATTATTATTATTATTATTATTATTATTATTATTATTATTATCATCATCATCATTATTCGTCCCTTGGGTTCCTAATGGAACCTACGACTTCAGTAGCACGTCTCCGTTCCACTCTGTTATTCGCAGTCTTTTGAACCTCGCGACACAACTACCCACAAACTCTCATTTCTTCCTCACACCATCTCCTCCATTTCACCCTCACCTGGCACGCCAAACTAGTCACCTCCCATTCGGATTCCACTCGACGGACTGGTATGGCATGGCCTGGCCTGGCCTGACGCATGATGTCCCCAGTCAGCCTTCTCAGTGTATGCCCAATCCATCTCCACTTCCTTCCACTGTATATTTGTTCAGCGATGGCTTCTTGCTTCGTTGGTTCGTTGCCAACCAGCCAGCCAGCCAGCCAGCCAGCCAGCCAGCCAGCCAGCCAGCCAGCCAGCCAGCCAGCCAGCCAGCCAGCCAGCCAGCCAGCCAGCCAGCCAGCCAGCCAGCCAGCCAGCCAGCCAGCCAGCCAGCCAGCCAGCCAGCCAGCCAGCCAGCCAGCCAGCCAGCCAGCCAGCCAGCCAGCCAGCCAGCCAGAGTTCCTTGTTGCTTATTCTTATTATTCTGGTAGTCCATCTGATCTTCAGTAAGCAGCCAGTGTAGGTGGCAGTTGTTGATGAGTGTCTGTGGTTTGTTGGAAATGCCGTTTGTAACGTGCCAAGTCTCTGAACCATCACATAGAAGCACTGACTTCACGTTGGTGTTGAAAATCCGTATCTTGTTCACGCCGAATGCTGAGTGCAGTGCAGAAGATCTCCACACTGATTTCAGGCTAATGAAAGCTTGTCTTGCTGTCTTTCCGATGCTGGCTGGCTGGCTGGCTGGCTGGCTGGCTGGCTGGCTGGCTGGCTGGCTGGCTGGCTGGCTGGCTGGCTTTGACGTCCTCGTCTGTGCCTGTGCCGCCTGTAGTTGAAACGATGTTGTCTAGAAGGATGAAGGAGGCTACTTCCTTCAAGTTTCTCCGGTTGTTGATGCTGATTGGAGTTTGTTGTTGTTGTTGGTGGTGTTGTTGGTTGGGTATCTTCACCACCACCATCTTCTCTACACTCACTTCACTTGAAGTCGCGTCTTCGCTGCCGCCTCTTCTGCCAACTTGTAGTTTTCGCCTGTAGATATTCAAGTTTATGAGACACCAGACATAAATCATCATCGGCGAAATCCAAGTCTTCTAGATTGTTTTCCGCGGTCCAGTCGGCGTATCCCCCTCTTCTCGCTTCCCACAGTTTGTTGCATGATCCAGTCCAGTTGACCACAATCAGGAGTATCATCGGTGATGGTAGGCGGTAAACTCGTCTTTCTCCTGTCTTCACTTCACTTCAAAGGCATCACTGAGCTTCCTATTGTGAATCACTTGGCATATGGCGTCTCCATATAAATGTTGAATGAGGCTGATAAATGTTTGTGGTATTCCGTAGTGTTGAGGCAGTTTCCAAATAACCTGTCGTCGACACTGTCAAGGGCCTTCTCAAAGTCGATGAAGTTGAGGTAGAGTTGAGTTGACTGCCATTCTATACTCTGTTCTGTGATGATGTGTTGCATGGTTTTGCAATTTGGTCTGCTTATGATTTGTACTTCCTGAATACAGACAGCCAACCAGTCTGTTTCGGTCGTAGTTTTGAATCCAATGCATCATTTTGCCTCTCCAGGATGATGCGGCTTAATATTTTGCTTGCTTTGGGTGGACAGGAGAGTGATTCCTTGCCAGTTCTAGCAAATACTGAGGTCTCCCTTCTTCGGGCATTTGACAATGTAGACCTTCTTCCAATCAATAGGTAGGTACCTTCCCTTCCTTCCAGATATTCTGCAATAGTGATGTGGTGTGAGCATGTCGGCTGCTGTTGTCTCTGTGTCTGTTCTCAGTGCTTCTGGTGGGATTCCATCTGGTCTTGCTGCTTTCCCACATTTCAGTAGCTTTATGGCGCTCAGAACTCCGACTTCTGTTGGAGGATTTATGTTCACTTGTAGTTCTGTGACTGGGCTGCAGGTGGTATTTCTAGACGAAGTGCAGTTGGTGGTGGTGTTGGTGGTTGTCGATTCAAGAGCTTCTTGAAGTGGTCAGCCAGTCCATCGTTTTCTTTGTTTCTCTTCTTTCGTAATTAAATTTCCATCATCATCTCTCATTGGTTTCACATATGTTGATCTCTCCACTCCCAGATACTAAACTGGTTATTTGATACAATGTTGTCAGGTCTCTGTCTCTCCTACCTGCAGCCTGCAGCCTGTTCTGCTTCACTTGCCAGTGTGTTGTGGAAGTGTCTTTCGTCTTTCCGCACACTCTTCTTCACTTCTTTTTCCAGTGTAGTGTTTTATACATTGTACTCAGTTCCTCGTCTCGTTGTTCATCCTTGCACTCTACTGGTTTATCTTCTGCTTCACCATACTCCTCTCCCTCCTCCATCAGCTTCCATGTGTCCATCGACATTCATTCCTTATCTTCCTTCTTTTTTCTTCCTTCCTAACACAGTTATGCAGGTTTCTCTCCACATAGCTTTCAAAGAGTTCCAGTGTTCATTCACACAGGTTTCTTCATGGATGTTGCTCGATATCTCCCATTTTGTCTTGATGGTTGACGTGAAGATGTCGTTTGTAGTTTCGTCCTTCAGTTTCTGTTGTGGGTGTTGTGCTTGAACTCTGGTCTATCACTAGCTTCCCTGAACGCTTTTAACTTGATTTTGATGGTAGGTTCCTTGCACTAGATAGTGAGTGGTCCAAGCCTAGATCTACTCCCCTTCTTCACCTTGTGTCAAGTAGGCTGACTGCGTCTCGTTGAATGCACAGAAATATGCAAACAATTCTCCATTCTCGTTCATTTCACAAACGAGTACTTCTCGACCCATAGTTTGTTCTCTTCCTGTGTTGTTTGTCCACTCCTAGGTTAGCATTCATGTCACCCCACCCATTAGAATGGATTTTGATGTCTCCAACTGGAGTGAGGTCTTGTCCAGTGTTGATTGAAGTTGTCTGTAGAATTCCTCCTTCTTCTCTTCATCTGCATTATTTATAGGTGCATAGCGTAGCGTAGCATTCAATGATTGTGACTTTCCTACCTTTTGAGTTGAATCTTACAGTTATGTTCCTGATGGTGGAGGAGATTGGTTCCCACTGCATGAGAGAGAGCCTTCGATGTTGTTGGGGACATCATGATAGTCACTGGAAAACTCATTGTGCTCGTGGTTGTTGTCTGGGTGACAATATCGGAGTAGATTATTTATTCTTCAGTTGATAGTTTGGAGAGTCCACTTCCATTCCATCTGCTTTTGCAAATTCCTGACACTTGAATGCAATACCTTCTCATCTCGTTTGCAATGTGGGCAGCGTTGCCAGCCAGCCAGCCAGCCAGCCAGCCAGCCAGCCAGCCAGCCAGCCAGCCAGCCAGCCAGCCAGCCAGCCAGCCAGCCAGCCAGCCAGCCAGCCAGCCAGCCAGCCAGCCAGCCAGCCAGCCAGCCAGCCAGCCAGCCAGCCAGCCAGCCAGCTTCAAACATTGTGCAGACATTCCATGTCTCCACGTTTACTTTCGCTTTCATCGAGAGTGAGAGAGAGAGAAGACACATCTGCCAATTGGCTTCCCGAAGGCTTTCACCAATCGGCGTCATTTCGCCTCTCCGATTCCAGTGAGGAATAATATTGTTTTTATTTTTAATATTTTGTTTGTGTTTTGAAGTTTCTTTAGTGGTTAGATTTGTTTTACTGTGTAGGTTTGCTAGCTGTATGCCCAACCTTCTCTCTTTACCGAGGCTTAGGACCGGCTAATAACTAGTGAACTAGTTAACCTAACGATGTTTTACATACGCTTGTTTTAAGGTTTTTTCCATCTTGTTTTATTAGGTATAACTGACTGAGTAGAATTTATTTGTAGGAAAAGATTACCGGATAGATGTTTTAGTGAAGTTGAAAATACTTCAATAGACCACTACACAGCATTTCAGGCTTAATGCTTGCAGTTAGAAGTTTACAGATGACTGACATTTTCCTTCTTTTAGGCGTCTACCAGTTTTAAATCATCTCGGTATGTATAACAGATGATTTGAGTTCACTTTTAATAACACCTTCAGGTAGGCCCTCCTTCTTAACTTCAATCTTCTCAACGTCCCATCACCGTCTCGGTGTAAAATGTCTTAATTTTGACAGGCAAACACTTGCGCCAGCATCTACTATGAATATTATATCAATGCAATTGAAAAATGAATGCTGCATAGTATGATTTAGTTGAAAGTAATCTGCAGATATTGATGGTTTGACAAAGGTTTCATCCTTGTTGGCATATATCAACAAGACGGATCTGCTACCTAAGAGGAAGTGATATCTCGCGCACAGACTGACTCTTCTGACGAATGTTGACAAGTATAAAACTTACTTTAAATAGTGTATCCTAAAGGTTACCTCTACCCATCCAATAATCTTCAAAATGCTCCATGATAGCAAGTAAACTAGGTCACTCACTCATTGATCATCAAGTCATGGACTTATTCGACGGAATTGCCATTAGCACTCTGGACTAAACAACGGGACACTGATTACCCATCAGTTGCTAATCACTGTCTGTGCAAAATATATTCATGCTACTCTCCTATAACTTTCATCAGATAAGGGACATTCAACATGCTGGTAACTTATAAATGTGAAAACTTGAAATATTTAAGAAATATATTCATTATGTGATTGAAACGACAGACTGCATCTTTTCGTTACAGTCTCATCAGCCTTGGTGGCGGATACTCTTCCCATCTTGTTGATTGAATATCATACCATTGATGAATCACTGTTTCCATGGCATTACCATTCAAGTGACAAACGTCTAGATGAATTGTAACACAGTAACTGCAAGGACGACCTTAACATTTAAATTAGACCTGATAACCAGGCCTCTCATCCAAACCAATCATAGGCGTTATTGTACGTCATTTCAGAAAGAAGGAACCTTTTGAGGAGTACTGCTGACACCAATAGCTATAAAAGTCCAACAGTTTCGATAAGATAATCTGTTGAGTTGAAACTTCAAAGTCTCTTCATTTCCACTGTCTTTTAGAGCTTGTTGTGAAGCTACAAGGAGCCTCATGAATCTGCCAGTTAATCATGATTACTTCGCCTTGTATAATTTCTTCACATATGTTTTCTCTCCCTAATACAAGGAAGATACACTGTTTATTGCATCAATTAGTTAAATTCTCTCATAGCTAATTATGTCAACTTTTGATAGCATATTAAACAGCTGCAAATAATTTTTTTATATTCTCACCTTCGACTAGGTGCATGGGCAACAAGGTTAACTGAGGATACTAAAGGCAACCGTGAATTATACATTCATACTACATTAAGAGAATTGGTCATCTATGTATTCTTTTTGGTCACTTTAATGATCGGTAAGTAATTCATACTACTTATTTAACCTGATAGTAGTTTAAAACATAAAACTAATTTATTAGAGCTGACAGCCAGGTATAAATTTTCTCAAAAGCTGTACAAATGTGCATGCACTAAATTTGGATCATGATACACTGAAGATGCCCATATATAGTAAACCAGTATGGATTAAACAGTTGACAAACATCTGTAACTGGTTTGTTGATAATCGGTCAATTTTAAGATGATTTTCATAACGAAATCAACGTCAGCTGGGAAATATGTTGACTACTACCAAACATACACTGATAACTGATTCATTGCCTTCTAGATAGTGCATATTTAACTAGGCAAGTACCTGAGCATAAAGGTGTAATTTGCTTGATTTTGACAATCAGTGAAGTCCAGGATTGGCATTTCGTCCTTTTTCCAACTCGTAAGCTGGATGTATATGCATAGCAACAAGTGACGTTGTTCCTACTGAGACTCAAACCCATGGCTTTGAAGATCACAGTGCTACCCACTGAGTCAGTAGGCCACGATAGCCACCTATTTTGCAATAGGCTTCAGTTAGCATTTTTTTAATTGATACTTGCAATTTCCCATTCTTAGTCAGAATGGAATTCCTCAGCCTCTGTTGGAAGATGATCGCTTTCCATACTCATTAAGCTCATTCCAAATCTAGGTAGCACAAAGTCTATTGACTTACCTGTGACTACACAAATTGGTAGTACATTCAACTCAACTAAACATTACACAACAGTTTCCGCTTAGAATTTCTAGCATAGCATAACTACTTTGTATCACATTATTCAAGTTGATTCTCAACATGCATTATGCAACATAATCCCTTTTAATGACGGAGAGAGAGATAGCTATAGAGATAAAAAGACATAGAGATAGATGGATATGTAAACAGGAAAATAGTCCAAGTTGTAGCAGCTTAAAAAGGTGCACCAGTTCACGATACATCAGCACCTGACACAGCAAACGAAGAGACAGTGGGTAGAAAAAAGAAGACGCACGCTGAACTGTGTGCGAGCTGAGAAAGAATACATAAATAACCATTAGTAAACTCTTTAAGTTTGAGATGACAAAAATTGGAGGAACCTGTTTAAGCAATACAGAGTTCCTAAACATTGATACCCTCATCAATTTGTGGACCTCATCTTGGAAATCTTTGCCTTCGAAACGGCATAGGTAGGTCAGCAGTAAAATGCTTTATGCTCTACCGACAGACCTTAATCTGACTACCATTGATCAGTCGCGGAAAGGTGAAAGAAGAGGATCATTGGGAATCTCAGTGATGTAATCCATCGGATATTGTATATATGTGCAGTGAATTACGCGTTTACGTAACTGATTTGCATGAAATAATATATAACTTCAGTAGCACTTAGGTACCCTTCAACATTATGTAAGATTTTTTTGTTTTTCTCATAGTAATTATTCATACATATAGGTTACAGCTACTAGAAGAAAATCCTATAAAGTAAAATGTCATCTTTTTCAGCAAATGTGTTTTTCATTCTTTTCTCATTGTGTTCATTGAGGGAACTTGGTATATGAAACTTAGTAGATTTATTTTGTACTCAAGATTATATACTTTATTTATTTTCTAGTTGCTTATGGTCCATTCAACTCAAATACTTACCTATTGACGAGTAGTATGCGAAAATTGTTTCTAGAAAATCGCGTGGCTAATGGTACAGATTCTCTGAATAGTGTGGACACATTTGATAGTCTGTGGGCGGTAAGCGGTGGAATTGTTGTACTAAATACTTGACTCTGAGTTTTATAAGTACATTTTGCTATTATCTCTCTTCTTCTAAATTTTCATCAGCGAATCGAATAAACTACTGATAACTTGAAAATAACAAACTTCACTTAGTGTTTGCTAGGTGTTTTATTTTCATGCTAGAATTGTTTTTGAGAATATTTAACAAACTAAAGATGCACTATTATTAGTCTTGATAGGCTAAATATTTCAGTGATGTGTAGGTTTATTAACTACTCGTAGTAATACGTGGCGGTTATGAAATCAGAATTTAACTTTTGTAGGTCACTCACCAATTTAGGCATATGAACGCGCCTCAATTAATCAAAGATATTATGTCACATTCTTAGTGCTGATTTGAACTCTCAACAAAATGTATTGAGGTCATAGAGTGAGTTGACTCTTCGCTCCTATACATTGTGTTTTTGACGGTGAACAGTCAAAGAATATTTACGAAAAAATTTCGACTTATGTCGAAAAACTAGTCTTACACCCTATATTATGATTTTTAACTAGATAGATAGAAATAAGTGGGTATGTCTACCAATCTTTGACTGATCCCTATATGTATATAGGATTAGTCGTATAAGGAGTCAATATTAGTTGAAACAGCTCGACTGACACATCTGTTCCAAAGCAAATATGTGACAGCAGCTTTAATTTTTCAAGGAATACTGGTTACCTTTAAGTTTGTAGAGAAACACTTTGCTGATGAGTACCGAAAGGCACATAACCAAGGCTCCAGATTTCTTACCAGGTGTCACGGACCATCCAACAACAGACCATGTGAAGTAAAGGCTATTCATGGCACAAGTAATACACTGTTTGATGAAGACAGAAGTGTTGAAAGTCAAATTATAATTTTTTCAGTCGTTATCTGTACAATGAAGTGTTAGTTGTAGAATTCTTCCAAAAAGAATAAAGAAAAAAGGACAGATAATTCTTTCCCATTTCATACCTTTTAGCATTCTGACCTTCTAAATGAAGACATTTATGATAATTGTTTTATAAAGTCAGACTCATGAGTTAAGTGGTTTACTGGGGTGTCTTTAAAGGCCATCTTAGCAGCTTTTGAGATTACCAATCACGTCCCTTGATTCTATGAGAAACTACCTTTTCAGACGGAATTCTGACATTGGATTGGTTAATTTAGCAGTTGCTAGGGCAGCCTTCAAAGTCAGTCATTTTGGTGGCAATATATTTGACTGAATCGCTCTATGGTGTACATTGGAACCACTGAGTGAACATAGATCCCCTTATAAGGTGTCATATAGGCGTTACTACTGCGTATATCCAAGCTTCAAATTTAGCTGAAATGTAGCCTCTTTCTTGTAGGTTGTTAACACTGAACACAACGTGACTCAGTGATGTACTACTCAACCCGATGACCAAATGGTAAATTTGATCGACAAACTTTACAAACCCTTGGGATGCAGTAGCTGTATTGCTCTCTTCTGTTAAGCCGTTTTTGTGATGTGTTTTAATTTATTGCAATGATGTCAATCAGTCAGGTAGTTTGTTGATCTATAATTAGGATAAAGTACCACGATGTTGTGTATCCCCCTATGAATTATTCAAATAAAAGTACTCGAAAAGCGCTATACAGCACCAAAGAAAGGGAACTAGGAATCAATGTGGCATACAATGGTATCTACTGTCACGCACACATACACGCACTACAGTTCAGTAAAGCGATTACTTTATTGCTTTCATCTATATTGGACTGTGCGAAAGTATTGTTTTAAGTGTTTCGAATCACAATGAAAGTAAAGAGATAAGTTAAAAATTATAAAGGGAGTGAATTGGATTTCATCTCGGTCACTTCTTCATATATTCGTAATCTAAAAATACCACATCATCATCATCATCATTATCAACATAGGACCAGGCATTACTGCGTAACGGTCCGAGTTGCCACACCTCATATCAGCACATCAAGTAAAAAGGTAGTGAGGTGAAGGATGAAGATAAGTGAATGCAGTCAAAAGAAATATAAAGTACGAGAAGAAAGGAAAGAGGAGTGACAAAATAGTGAGATTCGGTATAGCGTTGTTAAGATGAGGATAATGTGTGTATACATCTGCGCCACTGACTTCGGTTCTGAGCCATATCACCTAGGGTCTCCAACCACTGGTTCCTCTTGTCCCGTGGACCCCAACCACCTAGTCTGCATCGTCCTACATGGCTTAAACCAACAGTCAGAGACTTCATACATTGGTGCCATGTTTTAGTCTGGCCACCTCGGGCCTTTTTCCAGCCTGAACCCACCTCAGCCAACATTGTGTGACGAGGCAATCGGTGACTAGGCATACGTAGTACGTGTCCCAACCATCTCAGTCGATGAAGGTTCACAACCTCGTCGACTGACTTACCTCTTCTCCCTAAAACTCTACACCTAACTTCTGCATTACTCACATGGTGACACCACGGAATACGTCCTATACTACGAAGGCAACGGTGGTCAAATACCTGTAACCTTCTCATGTCTTCCACTTTCAATGGCCATGTTTCACAGCCATACAGTAGAACAGAGCGGACTGCTGTGCAGTACACGCGACCCTTAATAGACAAACGAATATCACGGCGGCGCCATAGGTGGCGCAAATTGGCAAAAGCCAATCGAGCCTTTTGTATCCGTGCAGAAATCTCATCGGCAACTAACCCACCGGGTTGATCCTACTTCCCAGGTAAGTGAAGTGGTCAACACACTCAACCACTTCACTCTCTATTGTTAACCGCGGTACCGCTGAAGACCAGTCCTGGAGCAAAAATTTGCATTTGGGTGGTGAAAATCGCATCCCAAACATTCTCAAATTCCCACTCAAAGTGTTCAGAAGACTCTGCATCTTGTCAGCGTCTTCACCTAACAGGACTATGTCATCTGCATATTCTAGATCTAAGGAAAATTCACCTGTGATCCGGTCAACGTCTTTGTAATTAGGTGACGAGAGGGAAACCTCCATAAGAATATCTATGATAAAATTAAATAAGAATGGGGATAGTGGGCATCCTTGACGGACACCACTTGATGAGTATAGCTCCCTGGACAACTCACCATAGGCTCTAACATGCCCACAAGTGTTCGAGTAGAGAGCTTTCAATAAGGTGATGTACTTACTAGGCACGCCTTTCAGTGACAGACACTGCCATAAGACTTCTCGATCAACGGAGTCAAATGCCGCCTTCAGGTCGAGAAATACAGCTATTGTCGGGCGTCTGTAAGCATGCCTATGTTCCAGGACCTGGCGCAGTGTGAATATTTGGTCGATACATCCACGGCCAGGTCTAAAGCCTGCCTGGTTTTCTCGGGCTTGCTGTTCCCGAGCTCCACTCAGGCGTCGGAGAATTATAGAACTTAGGATCTTAGACACTATGTTTGTCAGGCTGATTCCTCTGTGGTTATCACAAGAGGACTTCTCGCCTTTCTTGAAGACTGGGATGATGAGTGACTTAGACCAGTCGGAGGGGATCGTATTTGATTCCCATATACTGGCTAACACTTCCGTTAGCCTGACTAAGAGAACTCTACCACCATTCTTGTATACCTCAGCAGGTAGTCCGTCTGGTCCTGCTGCCCTTCCCCGTTTCAGGCTACCTACCGCTTTCTCAACTTCTTCTAGTGTTGGGGGACCTGTCTCTATGTCCCATTCAGGGTCCGACTGGATAGCGGGCAGCGCAATGGTGGCTGGAGGCCAGTTAAACTGTTCCTCAAAGTGTTCTGCCCATCGTCCCAGTCGCCTTCCCTGCGAGTGAATCGCCGATCCGTCCTTCTCCGCTATAACCTCACTAACTGTTGTTGACCATTTCCCCCCAGTCTCCTTAATAAGTCTAAATAACTGTCTACTGTTACCGATCGCCGCTGCCTTTTCCATCTCTTTAGCCTTTGCTGCCCACCACTGTTCACGATCGTTGCGCAGACTTTTCGTCAGTTTATTTTTAAGTTGCGCTCGCTCTTCATTGTACTCAGAGCCTGCAGGGATGCATTCACGTGCATCCATTAGTTTGGAAGAAGCTGCTGATATCCACTGGCTCTTTTTAGCCATTATCTTGGAGTCGGCTACAGTCTCCAGTGCTGCTTTTACAGTAGACTGAAGATGGCACCAAGCTTCTTCTGGATGAGTGACAGTCTTTTGTTCCGATAACTGCCTAGCCAACTTCTCACTGAACACGGCTTTGGTGTTTTCGTTGTCCAGCAGAACTCGTAGTGGTTTTGTTGCCAAATTTTTTCTACGTCCATTGAGACGCAGGCATATACGTGCTCGGACCAACGCATGATCGCTGTCCAAACACGTACTCCAGAAGGAGCGGCAGTCTTCCACCGATCCTCTCCAGCGATGACTAATAGCAATGTGGTCTATCTGTGTCCATCGCTGAGTCGAGCTCGGTGGACGCCAGGTCAGACAGTGCCTTTCTTTATGTCTGAAATTTGTGCTGGCTAAAAATAGGCGGTTATCTGAGCATAGTTGTAATAGGCGATCACCGTTATCTGTACGTTCAGCTGGGATTCCGAAAGTGCCACCTAAGTGCCTTTCTGCCTCACTCAGTCTACCCACCTGTGCGTTGAGGTCACCTGCAACAACCACTACGTCCGAACGTTTGGCTTTCGAGAGGAGGTTAGACAGTTTATGGTAGAACTCGTCCTTCACTTCATCCGAACTACAGTCAGTGGGTGCGTAAGCAGAGATTACAAAGAGACAACGGCGAGTCTCACTATTCCTTTTAGTTCTCACTGTGCCGTTCAGCCTCATAGCGCAGAGGCGACTATCAACTGGGATCCAGTCTAGTAGTGAGTTTTCTGCCCTGGTGCTTAATGCTATACCTACACCTGCAAGACCACGAGAGCTAGCTATCGAATCTCCAGAAACTCGAAGGGTGAATTTTGCAGATTCACCAGATTGGTCAGGAGAGGTCAGGTGAATAACCACACTTGGGTCCTGTATGCGTGTCTCACAAACACAGCACACATCCATGCCCGAGTTGCTAGAGTCTTTGCCAACGAAGCCTGTTGGCCAATTTGACGGAGGGTGCGGACATTGAAGGCTCCAATATGTAATTTGGAGCGTGGTTTAAGGAGACCAGGGACGCTGTTCTGTGGACTCAGATCGTTGTCGAAGGCTGCAGAGGTAGGAGAAATTGAAGATGATGCAGCATCATTAATTAAGAGACGTGAAGGAAGATTAGAAGGTAATGATGGAGGAGGAGGATAGCAGTCAGAAGAAACTTGGGTGCTGACAGAGTTGTGAGGGCGGTTGACACTTCCCGGCTGCCCACACCGTGGAAGGCTATTTCTTCTTAAGGTACCTGAAAGAGATTTGTGTGACCGCAGAGCCCATCGGACATCTGCTTGAGGCCTGTCACACCCAGCCTTTTGAGTATGATTATTTTGAATTTTTGTATTTTTGGGGCCGGATGAGCGAAAGGAAACGACAAGTGAACCAACACCGCCGGCCCGGCAGACCGTGGGGCGTGGTGGAGTGTGTTATTTTTGGGGCCGACCTTTTCTAACCCCCCCTTCCACTGAGAAGGCAGCATCAGCTTGGCACTGCTGGTCATCCAAGGGAAACACCTTACTGCTGTCACACCCCATCCAGCTAGCAGCAGTACGACTTCGCCCTCAGACCCCCATCATAGTGTAGCAATTTACACTATGACGGTAACTGCTTTTCGTCTAACCACTACCCAACAGACCTTTCTGGTATGGTAGGACCTCGAGGGAACAAGCGTTCCACCAGCATAGCTCGTTGGGTCATTGTGATATGCAAGCCCGACCACCACGTCAAGGTAGCAGCTATCGGTCGGGAAAAAATACCACAGTGTGTATTTCACAAACTTGTAGAACTCATTCAATGTTCCCAAGTTGGTTTTCACCATTGGAAGCATTAGGAAAACATGGGAGGACTGGACTGTTGTTTAGCCATGGTTAACAACACAGCAGTACGTGAACATAACTTCATGAAGGATCAAATCCAAGACAATGTGGTCTCACAATGACTATGCTGCCATCTAGTGACTGGATTAGAACTGCAGTGACAGGTTAGAACGCATACCCACCAACAACAATGGGGATAATCACACTATCATCCTCATCATCTCATATCAATGATTACACACACATACATATTGATTTAATAACCCTGAAAGCGAGAACGGGGCAAATGGAACACTGATATCAGTTAGAATTGCAGATCAATATCCTGCAGTACGTAGGACGATGTTACTTCTTGATTGTAAAATTGAATGAAAATAGGACTGCTCTTTTGGTTTAAGTGTCCGCACATGAAGGTATTAAAGCAATCTGTCCAACTCTATGTAAAGCTGTGAGCATGCTGTCTTCAGAGGGTGAAAAACTTAGAGAAAGCACTAGTTTAGTATATCCTAGTCTTCACTTATTCCTTGACTGATGTTGTACAGTCCCGTCTACACAACATTTTATTGGTGCATCTTGCGGCCTTAGTTACACTTCCCTTTCTATAACTACAACTAGTCGTCACTTGATTTTCATATGTATATATATTATAGGTAATAAAGGGTCCTATCATGGATAATTGGTACAATGATGCATGGTACAATTCTCAACCGTTCGTATCTGCGAACAATTTAACTTTATTATATCAAAATCTTTTAATCGGTGTGCCACGTTTACGACAATTACGTATGCCATCCAACTCATGCCTTGTACCAATCTACTTTTCTGATGACATCAAAGAATGCTTTGCTGAATATCAAGAATCCAGTGAAGATAAACAGCCATTTGGATTAGAAAATGGTACAGCGTAAGTGGAAAGAGAAAAACCTCACTTAGTAATTAAATTTTTCATAGTAATGTAGTATATACGTTCATGGATGTAGTAAATGCTGTGTGTTGATGTTTACATAAAAAATGCAACACTGTACGGAGGTGACCAGTTTGATATCCACTCAAGACTGGATTACTTATCAGTTCATAAAACTCAGGTAGTAGCTATCTGTTCAACTGAACCAAGTGACTGGCGTAACAAAGAAGATCAATAGAATGGAACAGCATGACAGGAAATCCAAGATTCTATGAATACTTAGTCACTGAGGAAGAAATGAAATGTAAAATACTACTAGTGTTGTTATTATTATTACTATTGTTTTTCCTTCCTATCATAGATGGATATACACACCACCAAAAGTATTGGGCATGTCTTCATTTTGGGGTTCAGTTGGTATTTACGGTGGTGGTGGATATTACGAAGATTTATCACGTGATCGAGATACCGCAACTAGTCAATTGGACAATTTATTTCAAAACTTATGGTTGGACAGAGGAAGTAGAGCATTATTTCTACACTTTACGACATACAATGCAAATATGAATTTATTCTGCACTGTTGAGTGAGTGAAATCACACAATAGACTTTTGGTATTCATTCTGTACCATATGACTGACTGTAAATAAACACTACCTTGGTAACCAGCGGATAAGTCAACTAGGTTTGCTTACTCCTAGAGAAAACTACTTTCCCAAAATAGAGTAACCTACTTTATTGGTAATCTAAGTGTATTTGCTTGAGTGGCATTTACAGTCAGTCGTTTTACATTGTGATCTGATATTCTCCTTGAAGTGGTCAAATCAAGGGCAAAAGATTGGAGATGAAATGTATCTAGTATAACTTGGAGAACAGTCAGGCGAGAACTTACTTTGAGGCTTTGATAACATACCTGGAATTAGTTGGTCTTGCGTTATTTCTGAGATTAATGCCAATAAAAGTGGAAATGGAATATCTTTGGGAGTTGATTGGACATTTCAAGGTCGTTTTAAGACTGTCCTGATTGGATAACTCGTCAAACGACGATCCTTTTTAGTCAATTCCTTATAAGTTGACTGAATTCAAAGTAATGAGAAAGGAGATTACAAATAATGAGTAAAGCTGTTTAAACCTTGATAGTGCTGAATGGTGTCCTGTACTTGATGCAGCAATGCGCTGATCTCCTTCAGTTTTATCTCCATACACTGCATATCTCAGTCTTCTCAGTAGGCTGCAACTGAAACTTGAATCTGGTATCCATTACTCTAAACGCGGAAATATGATTCATTTGACTGCTGATTTAGGATAACCATTCCTTGACAAACGAATGCAAGCGCTAACACTGTAATCGCAAAATCCAATCTGACCTAATTCCTAACATTTCACAGTGGTTGTCTAATTTGATAAGTGGATAAATGTGTTCATCTTAAAATGACTCAATGATCTAGATATTCGTTGGTGCTGGAACTTTCACGAATTATTTCCAAGACAATCACTACAGTCCACCAGTTGGTATTATCACCATTACTACTACTACTACTACTACTACTACTACTACTACTACTACTACTACTACTACTACTACTACTACTACTACTACTACTACTACTACACTGGGCTGTCTGCAGGGAACCAGCGTGTTAACTTCCTCTTGGATTATTTTGTTTGAAATACCACTGACTAAGATAACCACTGTGAAGTTGTTTGCCAGTCCACCTTTGCTTCATACAGAGTGGATGCAGTTTTGGACTAGAATACCTCAGGTTCAGTATCCACTATCCATTATTTTGTAGTCTGCTGTAGAACAGCTAAACTAAGTTCAAGATAGGGCTCGTCATCGCACAAAACACACACAAACGACAACAATTCTATAAACATAGGCACAGCAGATGTAGAGTGACAAGCTATTCGAAAGGATATAAAGTGAATGGGTGAACCTTAATATGATCCATTTGATAATAACCTAGGCTCATCAACCACTGATTCCTAACATACCAAAAGTTCCAACTAAACAGCTAGGTCGCTTCCGATAGCTTTTTATTTTAAAGACTGAAAACACCTACTGGTCTACCCAGGACTATTAAGCAAGCAAGACAAGTCAGTTGAGTAGCTTTCCGCCTTGCCGGCTAGGTTGGCTTCAACGCGTGCTGCATACATCGAACTACCGTCTACCGCTGTGCATCAGATTAGGGTTCCGTTGGAAGAAAGCTGAGAATGACGAAACCAGCACATGGCACCGATTCATAAAGTTGCTGACCATTATCCCAAACTGTATAGGAGAGTGTGTGCAACCTGATCAGAACTTTCCGGATGCCGGAAATCAGTTGTTTGAAGCCCTTTTCCATGTGGTTCAAAGCCATCACAGTGCCATAGCTGAGTTCACTGCTTATAATATCTGGAATCTTGGACATTATTTTGGTGTTCACTTGTTTATTCTCTCCACTGTCACACGATTTGGCCAATTTTACTAACTTTCTGTTTTGATCCACTTCCTGTCAATGTGCATTTTTAGAAGCGTGGCTCCTCTCTGAAGAGTTCTACCTTGATTTACTCATCTGATATCGAAAAGTAAGAACACGTCTTATCACTGTGTTTTACAGAATGACAAACAGCTTCTGCAGCCTTTTGTTTTGTCGCAGGCACTCGATCGGTTTATACCAATAGGGTGATTTGAGTACTAGCTGAAAACATTGACACTAAACTACCAAAATATGCGCAGAGTAATTTTAAAACCACATATACTCATGTTTTAATTGCTATGGCTGCGTTTATCTCTCAACGCAATATTAGTTTTATAAACTATCTATTAGCCCCTCCCACCTCCCTATTCTCAAACAAACAGCAAATGTTTTCTTTTTTTCTCAGAATTGTCATTGAAGCGCCTCCTTCTGGAAGCCTAATAGTAACCAATGCTTTTAGAACAGTTAAACTACTACGTTATGTAACACCATTCGATTACTTTGTACTGGCATGTGAATGCGCATTCCTGGTATTTATAGCCTACTATATTGTTGAAGAAATCATGGAGGTGAGTACCAGGGTAGCAGTATTCATCTATCATATATTTATTTACTTTTCTAGATATGTAATGTCATCGCTCGGCTGATAGATTAGCTGCCGAGATATATCTTTCCCGATGTTACTCGACTAGATGGTAATCAACCCAAAGTCTGTTAAACCAAAGTAGTATCTAAAACTTTAAGAGAAACGATGCTATGTGAGAGATTTGAACTGCAGTTAGTTGTATTACCATTTCCTATTCAGATGGGCCAAAGTTTATAAGTAAATATCATCTCCAGTAAATGACAAGTTAATTCACTGTATTACTTCTAAAATAGGTCCTTTTCGGAACGTAGGACTTCAAGTGGAGTCAGTGACTTCCGGACTGACAGGCTGGTTCACACTATCAAGGACTCATACGTTAAATAAAATTTACAGTTCTATGGTCAACCCCGATCTGAACTGGACTGTACGACTCTGGTTATTACCCAATGATGCAGCAGTGTATTCAGTTCAATCCTACTGGAAGTCAACGCTTACATGAAGAGAACTTTTTGTTGTAGCACTGTCTTCTCCGATTTCTGGACCGTTTATGGGTTGCAATGGATGAAAAAGTCAAGTATAAATGCACTACAATTTACTAATATTAGACGATGGTAAACTCATACGAGTTGATGCAAAAGCCGAAAAACAGTGTAAATAGTTGTGGTAAAGTCATTGACTACGATACTGGGTGACGCAGGTTCGAGTCTGAGACGGGCCATCAGTTCCGTCAAGACTGTAGATACGCCTTGCTGACGAGTGCCAACAAGCACGAGACCTGGGTCCAGAACTTCCTGCCGATTGCCTTTAATCAACTAATATCTACTAATGTGCACCGTGATGCTGAGCCTTATATCTTTGTGGCCACATTGCAGATATGACTGATAGGATTCGGTCTGCACTCAGGGCTAGAAAACATGTAATTGGTTGCTCTCCTGTGACTAATCAACATATGATGTGTATCAGTCAGGACTTCATGTCATATTCTTAGTAGTAATGATTGGTAGTGCCTAGCAGTGGGATAATACCTCCCACCATTCTTCTTTTGTCCAGCAGACAGCATGTACTTTCGGTTAGTTTATGTATGTCTGAAGATGACAGCACATGCTGCCAGTATTTGGTGAATATAGGGGATTAGGTTTATATTAACGAAGTGAAATATTTTCAATCTGTGAACTAATAACCTTCAGCATTGACGTTTCTGGCAACAAAACCATCGTTGATGCAACAAGTATAATCAAGGAGTGAAGAATAAACAAGCAGTTTTAATCACTGAAACAATCTGTTCATCAAACAGATACAGCCCGAATGGCACAACCAACCAGTCAGTCATAGAGCCTGTTACAAAAGAAGAAAGGTAGCAATGATGACAGATAGTGGCTAGCAGTGGAATACAGAAAGCACATTTCGTCCTATTTGCGACTCGTCAGCTGGATGTACTTGCCTCCCAGTGAGTGATGTTGTCCCTGCCGTGATCCAGACTCCGGAACTACTGCTTCGGACGCATCCGAACAGGAGCCCATATACCAATAGAGACCGATCAATTCGGCCCACTCAACGGCGGTATAATACAAGCAATTATACTAAAACTATACCCGTTGAACAAGAAGTGGCTGTCATGACTCGGTGGTGTAGTGGATAACGCTCTGGCATCCGAAGCAGTAGTTCCGGAGTCTGGATCACGGCAGGGACAACATCACTCACTGGGAGGCAAGTACATCCAGCTGACGAGTCGCAAATAGGACGAAATGTGCTTTCTGTATTCCACTGCTAGCCACTATCTGTCATCATTGCTACCTTTCTTCTTTGTAACAGGCTCTATGACTGACTGGTTGGTTGTGCCATTCGGGCTGTATCTGTTTGATGAACAGATTGTTTCAGTGATTAAAACTGCTTGTTTATTCTTCACTCCTTGATTATACTTGTTGCATCAACGATGGTTTTGTTGCCAGAAACGTCAATGCTGAAGGTTATTAGTTCACAGATTGAAAATATTTCACTTCGTTAATATAAACCTAATCCCCTATATTCACCAAATACTGGCAGCATGTGCTGTCATCTTCAGACATACATAAACTAACCGAAAGTACATGCTGTCTGCTGAACAAAAGAAGAATGGTGGGAGGTATTATTTACCTTAACGATTCTGTAACCCAACTGTCACTGTTTTACTAGACGGTATAAACTGTATAATGAAACCAGTAAATTTAATTTTTAATCAAAGTTTATTAATCAGAATGTTGAGCACTGGAAATTAAATAGCTACATTACTTATTCACGGATTATCGATTCATCTAGACAGTCGAGTCCCAGTAAAGGTCAGTTGTGGCCTAAAAATAGGTTAACAGTACTGTTTCTGACTTCAGCATCGAGTGATGAAGGTTTGAATAATCAAAGGAAGGCTGGTTTCTTGATGCCTGGAGATACACTTTGCTGATGAGTTCCGCCAAACACAAAACGTAGGTCAAAGGCTTCCTACTGATTGATTCCTAATATCTAAAAGTGGAATAAAATCCACAGCAGTGTTGCATCACCTAGCTTAGGAACCACATTGGAAACCTTATCGACAAACTGCACTGTGTGCTGAGCATCAAAGTTTACGTAGCTCGGTTACTCACTGTTGATCACAGTTCCTGATACATTCAGTTCAACGTAGTGTTGAATAGTCCATCATTTTCAAGGTTTTTAGTAGTCACCTACAAATAATCAGCTTGAGGTCTCTGGTTCGAGCCTTGTGTAAGCAAACTGGGTAATGACAGAAGGTGATAAAAATTTGGATCGCGGCCGATAGGTGCAGATTTTTATTTTATCACCTTCAATCATTATCCAGTCTGGTGGCAAATCTATCATACCACGGCTATTTGAAATTGGTAAACTGATAACAGCTGGTCATAGATTGAGTGTAATACACCATGACACCAGGTTCCTCGATAAGTTGAGATTATTGATATAAAATTATTCAATAAGTAGTTGTACTTGTACCTACATAACTTTGAAAACTGATGCTTTCGGTCAACTTTTTGTTTTTCTGTCTTTACTTCCCCCACCTCACCCCTATTCCCTGCAAAACCCTTAAATAGATAAAAAAGCTGAAATGTATCTATTTCGCTTCAGTATGGAATTGTCTTGATGTGATTATCATTTTGATCAGTATTGTATGCAGTGCATTCAATGCTTACCGGACAATCAATGTGTTGAATATGTTGGAGGATATTTTACAAAGACCTGATAATTTTGCTAATTTTCAATTATTAAGCATTTGGCAGATGAATTTCAACTATGCAGTATCATTCACTGTCTTTCTAGCCTGGGTTAAGGTAAGTTTTAGGCATAATAGTTCAACGCACTATTAAAATTAGTCAAAAGGTTTTGGAAGATCTGTTTTTTTGTCATCCTTTACTACTGGATGGCATATTAAGTCTAGATGGAGTTGAGAACAAGAAATTCTGTGCTATAACTGTATCTTAGCTGCGTGCTGCTGAGGAGTCGCATAATAGGACGAAACGGTTGTCCAGTGCTCCCAGGTTTTCAATGGTTCTCCAATTGATGTCAGTCCGTGATGTACACTACCCTGAAATAAGATCATCATTAACCTCATGATATAAAACTGTTTGGGAATATAAGTAAGCGTATGAGTTGAAGTCAAGAGTTGACGACTGTATAACAAAGTGAACCAACAGCTGTCAGTGTGGATGGAGCCAAGAAATCAGTAACTTAACTAAAAATGTACATTTGATGATAACATGAAAGTCAAAAGTGGTTAAATGCATATAACAGCTGTAGAGGTCATTATATCGTCTTCTGGAACAGTGTCTGCTGTCAACTGAATACTTTTAATATGAAACTGTATATCGACCTGTGTTAACCTTTGCTGAACCCTGCTGGAAGACGTTAGCGTCGACTATGAACCTAGCTGTATAACAGCAGGCAATTGGATATATTCACACTGAAGTGGCTAGCAGTGACAGTTTGCCTTTCTTACATGTGTTCATCAATAACTGACTAGTAGAGGTAATTTTCAGAGTGGCTGTATAGATTTTTCTTTTCAAAGCTTTCAGTACCCTATATACTGCGTCTGCATTGAATTTCAAAGTGTAAAGTAGCTTCTTCTCTACTGAAGGGTTGCATTCAGATGTTGATTTTTATCAATGAATCTTCTTGGACATCAATATTTAATGAACTCTAATCTAAAAAATTGAATTTCATCTTCTATCATGTATGGAGTCCAGATGCTGCGAATTCATACGGAAGTAGAATAAATTAACTTTTTTTCTGGCTGTCAACCCAGCTATAAAAATATCACTTGTCCATTTCATATAAATTTTTGATAAATGAGTCTTTCTATCTTTAGTGTTCCATGATTTCTTCTTTCTAAGAATATGTCAGGAAATGGTAATTTCAATTGTGATTCTTTCTCTATTTTTAAAGCTGATCAAGGAGTTGCATCCCTGGGATAACTGTAGTACTCTTCGCAAGTCAAGATTCTTGTCACAAATGATGAATCTATCACTTGGTCAAATCGTTTCATATTTCTTACGTGACTTCTATGCCTATGTTGTTTTTGTAGCCACAACATCCTAAGAGAGTTTTAGTTGAACTTCCGGTTTAGCTTTCAATTCCAGACAGGAACTCATATACCTGAATGCCATCATCCATAATCTGTGGGATCGGTCCTCTTGCCAAGCAGGAGACATCACAGTCACACTTCCACATGAAAACGGGGACTCCTAGTCCAGATAGGTGACCCTTTTGAAAAGCATTTTACTAATAGGTTTCACTGAACACTTCTAACCACCTTAGACATCATGGTTTTTCAGTAAACAATTCTTTATTTTCAACATACAATGGATATCATGTCCTTGATATGGTGGTGAATATTCAAATTTCTGGTTATAGATGTTCTACAAGCTTTTCTAGAAATGGTTTCACCAAAAGGTATTACACTTGTAAAATTTCATGAAAAAAATGGTGAATTCTTTTCCTTGTAGAATAACATCATAACGCCTGGATGTCGACAGCTATACTAATGAATAATCAGTCGCATAAACTATAGCACCAGAACATTTTGTTTTACTGTAAAGAAATTCGAATCATTTGATTCACATTCGCTTAGCTATGACATTTCTGGGTTACGGAGTACCGCAAACCTTTATCAGCCTCATTCAATAACTATATGAAGATGCCACATGCCAAGTAATTCACAGTGGGAAGCTCAGTGATGATTTTGAAGTGAAGACAGGAGTGAAACAAGGTTGCCTACTATCCCCCATGATATTCCTGATTGTGGTGGACTGGATCATGCAGCAAACAGTGGGCAGCGAGAAGAGGGGGATACACTGGACTACGGAAAAGAACCTAGAAGACTTGGTTTTCGCCGATGACTTGTGCCTGATGTCACATAAACTTGAAGATCTGCAGGCAAAAACTAACAAGTTGATAGAAGAGGCGAGGCAGCGAAGACGGGACTTCAAGTGAATGTAGAGAAGACAGAGGTGATGAAGTTACCGCACCAACAACTCCAACAACAACAACAAACTCCAGTCACCATCAACGGGAGAAACTTAAAGGAAGTAACCTCCTTCACCTATCTAGGCAGGGTAGCACTGTTTCAACTACAGGCGGCACTGGAACAGACGAGGATGTCAAAGTCAGAATCGGAAAAGCAAGACAGGGTTCATTAGCCTGAAACCAGTGTGGAGATCTTCTGCACTCAGCCTGGAATGTGAACAAGATCCGGATTTTCAACACCAACGTCAAGTCAGTGCTTCTGTATGGTTCAGAGACTTGGCGCGTCACGAAAGGGATTTCCAATAAACTACAGACATTCATCAACAACTGCCTATGCTGGCTAGTTACTGAAGCTCAGATGGATTGCCAGAAAGAATAAGCAACAAGGAACTCTGGCTGGCTGGTAACGAACCAACCAAGAACCTAGCGTGGAACAAATATGCTCTGGAAGGAAGTGGAGATGGATTGGGCATACACTGAGAAGGCCGACTGAGGACATCACGCGTCAGGCCAGTTGCTAGAGTGGAATCCCCATGGGAAGCGACGAGTTGGACGTCCGAGGGTGACATGGAGGAGGTCGTGCGAGGAGGAAATGAGAGCTTGTGGGCTGTCGCGGAACCAGGTTCAAAAAATCTCAGAGAACAGAGGTCACTGGAGACGTGCTACTGAAGCCCTATGTTCCACTAGGAACCCAAGGGACTAATAATAATAATATGTCCATGTAAATTCAAATCTCACAGTGACAAAGAGTCCCAACCAAATATGATGCATATTTCGCCGACAAACTCCATAATGAAAGAAGGTTGGGTAGACAGCTACTATGAAACCCATCAGTAGACGTTCAATACTAAACACTCTAAAGTGTATCATATTATCACTTACTTTAATAGCCAGATTATAATGATACACTAAATTTCTATGATTTCCTAGTGATGAGTTTATGTACAAAATATTCTTCTTTTTTTCTACACTAATTCCAGTTATTTAAATACATCAGTTTCAATAAAACTATGACACAACTGAGTTCCACTTTGGGTAGTTGTGCAAAAGACTTGGCTGGTTTCGCTGTCATGTTCTTCATTGTATTCTTTGCGTTTGCACAACTTGGTTATCTGGCCTTTGGAACACAAGCAAAGGATTTCAGTTCTTTTATAACAACTGTGTAAGCCGAATTCATTGATTATTTTTCTCTGATCTTTCTTCTGATCCATTAAAATTTGATTTTATACAGGTTAGTGGTAGTGGTGACAGATAAAGTATACCTGATAAAAAGAATCTATGTGTAATTACACAGTACTTGTAAGTGACCTTAAAGTTCACCGTAGGAAGGACCAGTCGCAATTCTCTATGTTATGATAATCTGTCTTTCCAGCCGTAATGGAGAAACCTAATTTAATTATTTTGATTGTTGCTAGGGCAGCCTTTAAAATTGCCCGTTTTCGCAGCAAAAATGCCGAAACCTGATTGGTTATTTCATCGGTGACCTTTGAAGTCACTCTCACAAAGTAGTAAAAAACATAATGATATGCACCTGCCCAAGGCAGTAAACAGTTAATAATACTTAGCATGTGAGTGGGTGCTATTGTCCATCTTATTTTGAAATCTTGAGCTGCTAAAACTCAGTAACCTTAAAAGCCATCCTAGAGAATGTTGTGATAACCAATTACGTTCCTTTCTTTTTCGGACAAATTCCTTCCCGTCAGAACACGGAAATATGATTAGTCAATACTGCAGTTGCTAGAGTGGTCTTTAAACTCGCCCACTAACAATGGTCAGGGGAAAACTAAGTTGGCAGTAGTAGACTGTACTTTTGACTTCCGCCTATTTATCTTGAAGACTGATAGTTCAGTCCAATGATATTAGTAAATACTACAAAAGGCTTCTATGTATATTTGTTGACGTTCGAAAGCCACAGGTGATGAGAAGCTTTTACCTTAATGGTAAATGGCTCCTCTACCTATCTGTTTGTCTTTCTTCGTCAGTCTAATTGGTCCAATGATGATCGAATCCATGGAATATTCAGAGTATACCTAAGTCACTTAATAACAAGTCAGTGATCACTTAGTTTTTCTGTTAACTTGACAAAAATAATAGCGCTCATTAGTCACTAGCTTTGAGAGTTGATTCCCGAAGTTCCAATGAGAGGTCGTGACCAGTGGAGTCAACCAAGTCGAACGTGAGGACAGTTAGTCAACGACAACATTGGATGTCGGTTGCATCATACTGTGAAATAACAGAAGTTGGAAACATGGACGATTGGATTCTGACCCAGTGGCTCAATGGCAATGTGTTGGTTACGTGACCTGAAGGTCCTCGGCCCGATCCCTGGAGGGGACAAAGGTGCGCACTCCTGAGGAGTCCTACAATAGGACGAAACCGCTATCCAGTGCTCCCACGTTTCCAATATTCTTCCAACTGATGTCAGTCGGTGGTGAAATGCAACCTAAAATCAACTAATAAACCTCCACAAACCTCCGGATAGAGTAAATAATCCACAGTTTCTAATAGTGGGACGTGGATAAAGAATAGTGCAATCTCACGAAGCGAAATAGCAATTTCATGTTTGATTAAATTGATAAATAGATGCAAACTTTATCACAATGAGATATTCTATTCATCAGTCTTTATCGGTGAGCGGGGCTGATTGTTGTAGTATGCTATTGTAGATTATGTGTACTGTGAAATTGACTCAAATTAAAACGTTATTGTTAGTAATACCTTGAATTCAAGTACTAGTTGTTATTATCCGTGAAAATTAGTTATTTTTGTCTACGGAACAATACGTAAAGCTGTTCCATGATAATGTTTACTACTGACTTGTATGAGTAGCTCCTAACTACTCGCATGGAATCAGTACTATTTGTCAAAATAGATCGAGGTAATCTGAACACTGGATTGTTGTTTAACGCTGAACACATCAGCCGTTTAATTTAAAGAGATGAAAAGTTTTCATACTACCTTGCTATTTAGATGTGTTAAGTCATATCTCTAAGCAGCATTTAGTTCGCCCTTGAGGTGACCGAGTGGAATAATAAATACGCGGAACGATAATAGCGTGGTAAAACACTTGGATTGAATACGAGTAGCGCAACTGTCTTCTCTCAGAGCCGATACTCCACTGAGCTGCGAAAATCAGAAGACAAAGACTGACTTGTGAGTGTAAGGAGGATAAACTTATATAACAGAAAGCATGATTTATTTACAATTTTCCTTGAGAAAATGAAGCCACAAGGTCAGAAGATGGATACTTATTTTTATTGTTCACCTGAAGGAAAAAGTTTTCCATTGAGGTTTTTCCACCCACACATTAAAGCTAAAGTAAGGTTGAAATCCAAAACTTCTACATTGAGTAGTGGTTTCGATTCAGGCGGCTTCCCATCAGATGGAATCATTGCTCTTAAGCAGATGACAACACATGTTGTATTCTGAATGTGATAATTACAAGTGAATTTGACAGAATTGTGTTTTATTCTTACACCACAGTGTTTGACTACTTAATTTCATGCTTTCACATTCAACACAATCTGTTTAATTGTTTATGCTTTGTTCTACATTTCTCTTTTTTTTTCCAGCTTTACCCTGTTTCGTATTATCTTGGGTGATTTTGATTTTAATGCATTACAGACAGCAAATAGAGTGTTTGGACCAATCTATTTTATAGTCTATGTATTTTTCGTCTTCTTTGTACTCATCAATATGTTCATTGCTATTATAAATGAAACATATTCATCTGTGAAATCTGATTTAGAAAAACAACCGAATGAATTTGAAGTGAAAGATTTCTTGAAAGATGTAAGCAAATACTATGCTTTGGATCATTTATTTTGTTAATATTATCTTATACAAGGTTCAGTTTTACTTCATTCTTGTACTCAAATGTGCAGGTCATGTGTTTGAGACATCCAAATAGGAGCCACATCTGCTAACAGACGTCGAACTATTCGACTCAAGTATAACAATGGAAAATTACAAGTATCAATGAACAAAAACTGGTGTGTTTTGTACAAGTGGTGGTTCACATTCCCCAGTGACCTAGTAGGTAATGCTTTGAGGTTTAAGCGATGGGTATTTGGCTCGAGTCTTACAGGATACAGACACGTATAGCTGTCGAGACCTAAATAAGACGAATGCACATCCTGTATCCCACTTCTATCCACAAATCTACTACATTAAAGAGGAATAAAAGTTAGGAAATGAATGAAATATGACATAAATGTAAGATGAAAGTTAGATTCGGATTCACCTAAGCCTTTTGCAATCGATTTCAAGCGATACCAGCGAGCGTCTTAAACCACTGGTCTGAGTTGCTTCCTAGAATCCAATTAAGCTTATTTCTATCCACATGTCTAAGAGCAATACTGAGAAACGTCACGAGCTGACACCATGTAGAAGTCTAGCAATCTTTATTTTTTTTATCTAACCCTATTTTCAGTAAGCATAACATGTTGGGGGTGGAGTAAACCTTAGCTCGATGTGCACAACAAAAGTCCTATACACCTCAATTCCTGAAGGCTCACAGCCAGTCGGTAGTGTTCAGATACTTGGAGGCTTCTCATGTCTTCCATACTTAATACGCGTGTTTTATAACCACGAAATAGGACACGGTAGATAAGTTTATGGTACGCTAGCGGGTACACTATTTTTCACTGGTATGACAAGTTCGTTAGTTCGCAAAACTTAGTCGTCTTCTATTGGCCTACCAGTGTCCATCCAAATTCCTAGGCGAGCGGATTGGTAAGCATTTCCAACTACTGCACCGTCTATGGTGGGATCAGGTATCAATATTAACTCGTCTTGAAAGGTAAATTCACATTCTGAAGTGGAGAAACATGCATCTAGACATTCTAAAAGTGTCATCTAACGTGTTGAGAAGAGTGCACAATTAAACACCATATGCACAACAATGCACATGATGTCCTTAAATTATTGTTTGATGAGTTGATCATTCGTCGTATAACAGTGTCATGATGGGTGGTCTCAATTATCCTTTGACTCTAAAGTTCAGGCTAACAATGTGATCATTAGGTTACATGAATCTGCATCGTTGTGCACTATGTTCATCGTTGACAGATTAAAAGATAGATTTAATGTACTTACTACTGTCGGACACCTTCTACTGTCTACACCACATATTGTAAATTCCAGCTAAGTACTTCATGCAGTGTCATACAATATTCCAAGAAGTCTTAATTAAAGACAGTATTGTCTACATAGCAATAGTTTCTCACTGAGTCAAATGAACTCATTTAGCTTCATCAAACACCTCCGAAAACATTTCACTACTGATATACAAATTTCAGTAGGCAATATCATTCACAAATAAATCGTGATTATTGTTAGAAATTCACCTTTCCAGGTTATGGTTGCATGATCAAAACACCCAAGCTTTCTCTGAATTGATAACCGGCATGTTGGCATTTTTTCTGTTTCTTTTCTAGAGAATGCAAAATATGCTTCAAAAAATGAAGATAAAAAAGAAACGGATTGAAAATATTCAAAAAGCCATGGAATTGTCTGATTTAAACAGAGATGGACAGTTGGAATTTCATGAAATGTGGAATCATTTAAAATCGTAAGTTGTTGCAATAACTCTTTCCACTATCTCTAATCCACTACCTCGATTCCACTCAAAAGAGGAAAATACGATTTTCTGTATTTTGCCAACCACACTCAAACAAGGAAAAACAGTTGCTGCTAGTTAGATCAGGGTCTTGTAGCGTTGTCTGTAGAAAGAACATCTGGCAATTTGTTCAAATAATATCACAAGCTAAAGCTACTCATTCCTACTTAGTTCATAATTTGCCCATAATATTACTTACTATGGGAGGAAGCTATTTATCGTCTTATCCAACACTCTACGCGTTTAAAACGTTAAACAGTGTTAGTACTATGGGTCAAAGAACTAGTATTATAATACGCATATAATATGATCATATTTATGAGCTTAGTGATTATTAGAGAATAGATTTATGATAATATTCATCAAATAACAGTGAATGATGCTGACCGAAATATCAAAGAAGAATTAATTTCAAATTCGTTTCACTACAGAATGGTTTAATTTGAGGTGCATTTTGCTGGTCCATAACGATTGACAATGAAACATTGAAATCACGCAACTAGATATACCAGCCATCTAGAAGTGATCTAACCACAGTTAGGCATATTGACTGGTTAGATGCAGTTCACATATCAAGAATATAATCTGATCGACTGAATTCCAGAATTTGAGTTGTTTCCGTACACGTGAAACAGTCCTTTATCCTATTGATTTCCTTGGACGGATAACTGTCCCAGACAAATGTCTGCCTAATTTTCTCGGTAGTGGCTCACAGTGGAATCCAGGACGTGCGTTTCGCCCTCATCTTGACTTTTCAGATGGAGATGCCTGTATCACAGTGAGTAATGTCTTACTGCACTCATTCGACTGTTGGAACATTTTGTGACTACTGATAGAAGACAAAGAAGCCGATTATCACCACAGTCTGTAATTTTCCCACATTGCTTTGTTGAACGGCTTCTGTCCCCTCTGGGTTGGTTACTGGTGGTTAGCATTGGTCGTGAATTTCTTCCTACAGAGATTTTTTAGTCAGATATGCCAGAGTTACGGATTATAGATTACTACCATCCACCCCATACTAACTCATCAAAGGCATTGAAAAAGTTAATCTGAATGGTTGTCAGTCACAGTTGTACTATCACAATTCATTTCAAGGTAGTGAGAGAGTGAAACCATTTCAGCACAATGTGCCTGATCAACTGCTCACTAACTTAGATCCCTGCACACTGCTTTCAATCAATTCCTTCAAAAGCAGTAATACCACGAAATCTGCCTTAAATTTTATCAAGGTAATTCCATCAACGATCCGCCCTCCTCTCCAGACACTTTGCCAATGGGTCATCGAGATAACTTCACTTGTGAATATACTGATTAGAAAGAGAACTGTTGTGATAAAATATCGTTGACACGACCTATCAGTAATATAAAAATTACGAACAGTAAGTCACAGAATAAATCTAGATTAAACTAACCATACTAACAGAAAGATCTGCTGCAGCAGATGGTGGACTGAGTTGAAGTCAATTAAGTACGCTTTTATAACTGCAATGCAGACTTCAGAGTTAGTCAGTTTCCTCCACATGAACATTCAAATAAAATGGTTTATTTCTCACAATCTGATAGATTATTTGATAATACTATTATCCTACGTTTACATAAGGTTGGCCAAAGTTGAGAGTAGTTGTGACCTTGTGGCAAGTCAATCTGAATCATTTACAGTTTTGATTGGTCTCATGTAAAAACTGTGACCACGTGATATTCACCAGCAGTATACTCTGACAGTGAATCTGACTCCAAAAGAAAATACACCTACCTACTGAAACACATTACCGGGTTAACAAATACGGAAATCACCTAGGGGAAAATGTATTAGTTAGTTTTTTGAATAACTGGGTCACTATGTTTTTTGAGAACACTTTTCCTATTATCATCAATGGATTATGTTGTGATTTCAATCAAATTAACAGAAAAGGTTTCAGTGATGAAGAAATAAAAACGGTTTTTGAAAATTTTGATGAGAACAAGGATAACATACTTTCACGCACAGAACAACTGAAGATGAAAGCAGAATTAGAAGAACAAAAGGTTTGTGATACTCCATTTTACGACCATTTATGTATTTCATTAATTGTCGTATCTACTAGGATTAACACAGAATGTGTTGGTTATGCTCTCGGTATTGATCACACACATGAATTAGAACGTTCTGTGGGTATACCTTGGGGTTCATTTTAGTGCATGTGAATGTTGGGTATTACTTTGACTTCGTTGGTTATTCTTTGGTGGGAGTAACTATGACTTTCTCTGCAGCAGATATCCACTCCTTAGTTACATGTGAGGGCGTTGATGTGAAGCAGCTCTACACGGTGTGGTTATTCGGTTCATAATGCCAGGCGTTGTTCCCCTAGCCTCGGCTGTAACTAAGTAGCCCGAAAGCGGCCACGGCTGTGAAAAAGTCTACAGTATTGGTTCATGGGTCAGACGGTTGCCTTTTCAGGAAGGTGAGCTGCTTTTCGTTCTGAAAGATCGCAGAGACTCAGTGGACGCATTCCATGCAATTCTGACCACGAAGGGGTGAGTAAGACCAGCGAACCGATTATCCAGTGAATATGGATCCGTTGGAGCCTGGCAGTTGGGAGAGTTCCGAGATAACACAAATCGCTTTGAGGAGCGTCAGCACAGCAAAAGTTTTCTTTTTCCTGTGAATGCTTTGCTTGAATGTTTCCTGCTAGGCATGAAGACCGACTCATTAATTTCGTGTTGGAAAGCCTATAGATCTTAAGACCGGTTTGCAGCTCAGAGCTTAAACGAAAATTGAGTAGAAACCTTAGATTACTCTTACCTGTGTTACAGTAGTTATTACTATACTCCTATCGATATTTGTACCACCAAACCTGTTATTGAACTGTCTGAGTTCTCTACCCTCTAGCCATGTCAAACTCTGAATGTTAGTCCATAATTCTATCTGGGAAACAGTCCAGTCATGACAGGTGACCTCTTGGAGGAAAGTCTGATAACAGCACTTCCATGTTGACCACTACCGCATAATTGTTATCATGAGCTGTTTATACTCAAAGTTTTAAGGACATATCAGAGATGATGATATTCATCATCATTGGCTGACTGACTAATGAAGAGGCACCTACCAGCTCAGAAATAGTTCAGTCTGAGACAGATTTGCAAGTGTTAATTTGATGAGCCGTGACTCATGGTGTGAGCTACATCTGCAGTGTAGATGGATATCACTGATAGCCCTAGGAAATGATGGTCACATTTTTTCGCTAACTGGCTCAGGTTGAGAAATGTAGACCAATAGATGTGAACCAGATTGTCATGAGGTCTGCAGATGCTCAGATTATTTCCATGCATGTTCAAACAGCATAAACTGTTCATGGGATTGACATTAAAACAATCCTTATTGTACATGAATCAGTAACCACCTGACAGCCTATTTAGCGGTGTAAAACTCAGTGCTCGGCGCTAATCAAGGTTTATCGGCTAAGTTAACAATTTGGCCACCAAGTTAAGTGACGGGACAATGTTAATATGAAAAGGAAACGAGAAGACAGAGACGAAGGAAGTAACGTTTATTGGTTACAAGTGGTACAGTAGTCGTTAAATATGATACACATTGCACTAAGACAGTCATTTGTAAAATGTGCTTCATTTTCTCTTCTGCTTCTCTCTTGAGTGTTCTTTGTAAGTCGCGCTGTTTCTTGCATTTCTCTTGGTAGATTCCTTACTCATTACTGGTAATTCCCTATGATTTCTCTCACCCTCTAAACATATACTACTTATATCCATTTCTATCAGTAACGCCCACTACAAGTACACTAGATTTTGCTGTTAGATGTTTGGAGTCAATCAGTAAGAGACCATGAGGTTCGAAACCCGTAAGTCGGTGTAAAAGCCAGAGACTTTACCACTAAAACACTCAAGGCATCATGATAATCTGATCCTAACATCTGACAGTGATTAATGTATTGTCGGTAACTAATTAGAAAGTAGTACTTAGGCTTCTAAAGAAGGTTTAAAATGTAGCTACCAGTCTTCTGCGCATTCGTGTGGTAGGCAGTGGTCCACATCTGCTTGCACAGACACCGATAAGCGGAGCAGGGGTTGATTCTATGACCCACTGAGTGAAAGTCAACTCCCTAGACCATTGAACCATAGGTCAACACAGGTTGGTCGAAGTTCCAGCTGTGCAGAAACTAGAACCATCCTTGTTTTTAAAAACAGTTTCCAGTACTGATTTCCACTTTTTTCACACTAATTGTGGTATGGCTAAGATTTTTCCTCTAACCTTATTGTCTTGTGTGGTCAGATTGTTTGAAATGTGCGACGTTATTGCATCAAATGTTCCAGAGGATTTTCGTCTTCGCACTACACACTCTCTAAGTATGTTCAGAGTTGTTGGCCTACTTTCCTTTTCATCATAGTACGCTGTTTGATTATTGGGGAGAGAAATGTCACGTACCCAATCCTGCACTCTATTTCAAGTATGATAGATCATTTAAACTTGGTAGTATTTCAGTGCACTGAGTACCCTAACTCAGAGACTTCTCCCTTTGACTACTGAATTACTGCATACACTTTTATAGGAGGAAAGATAGTTAGCTGTTACATTAACTTAAAGTGATGTATAATTTTGCAGGTTCTGTATATCCCTATCAGTCTCGATGATCACTTACAAATATTGATCCAGTTGACTGAATTGTTCCCAACTGAATTGACTGTCTTTACTATTTAATGGTTTTCTGTGTAGATGGTGTTAGTGTCTGAGTTGGCCAAAGAAGAACGATTAGATTTAGATACAGAATCGAAAGAAACTGTATCGAAAAAACCATTGAATGTACAAACTAAGCCAGAAGTGAAACAAAATGAATTTATGCAACTATACAAACGTGTCAATCGTATTGAAAATGGAATGGGTCAAGTGATTGGACATATTGAAGATGTGTTGAAAGCATTAGCACTTATTGAAAAGACGAAAGTTATACGTAGAGAAACAATGACACAATTTCTGCAAACTATTATTACAGTAAGATGATGTTGATGATTCGTTTGTTTTTGTTATTGTTCACTTCCCTAATATATTGACTAACACAGATATCATTTAGTTTATCTGAAGTAGATATGGTTTAGACGTAGGGCCTAGATTACGTACTTATTGGCCCTCATCAGCAAGGCGTATATGACCATGAGCAAACCCGTTTCCGCCATCAGTCATTCGAACCTGCACTACTCAGTCAAAGACCTAAGCACTTCTAAGACTGGATTTTGGACAACAACTGGTCACCAGTGAGTAACGACTCATCTGGCTGTCTTGTCTTTAGTACTCAGTACTGACTGAAGTCTATTCAACAAGTTTTGCACGGTTGCCACTGACTGAAGTGACGTGGTACAGTCATTGGTGATTTATGAAACCAGTGCTAGCAATACAAGCCATGATAAGAATAATCAATGTAGGACTGAAAGATTAAATAAGTGAAACATCGATGTATGAATAAACACACTGCATACAGTCCTTATGTTTTGAGCCGGAACACGTAGAACCGTATAGGAAGAGCGAAAAGCTTAGGAAGTTTGTAATAACCATTGATAAAAATTCACCAAAAGATACGAAGCAACAACCATCTTTCGATCTCACTAGTGTTTGGAATGTGTGTTAAGACTACTTGGTTGTTGTCTTATGTGTATGATCCCCACTTATCAGTTAAACTCTGACATGTTTGAGGTGGCTTTAAACGCCACTCTAGCAGCTGCCGAAATAGCCGATTAGTAACGGTATTTTGTCTGAGAAGTCACTTTTTCGCACAATAAAGAAACGTGATTGGTTACTTCAGAAATTGTTAGAGTTGCCTTTAAAGCCTATCTATCTGTGTATGTTTCACCATTTCGACCAATGAAAATATAATGAAGTGATACGGTTGAATAGCGATCGTCTGCTTTTAGGACAATAATTTCTCTCAATTGTCTTAGAGGAATGACAGCAATTATGCATAAGGGACCAATGTATTTTATAAATGTTGCCTGCATGATATGCTGTAGTGGATTATGCGAGAAATGTTGGATTCTTACGAACCATATATTGTCATATAGACAAAATAACGTAGGACATCGCGTAGAAGGGTATCAGTAATCCCTAAAGGCCTGTGAATAGTAGGTAATGCAAAGCATTTTGTGATAGAATATCTTCATTTCAGTTTAGAAATTTTCTCAATCAAGTTATTTATGTAACTGAAATCCGGGTTTGTGAAGAGATGGTGATTTAGAGGACCGTTAGGAGAACTCGGTAGTTGTTTCTTTCTAGTTTCGGACTCAACGTTGTACTTGCTTCATTAGACATTTCTCGAGGTTCCAATGACAAGTCGTGACCTGTGGAGTAAAGGAAGTTGGGAGTGAGGTGAGTGCCCATGATGACATTCTTTGACGACCAAGCTATATTACCTATTTGACAGACGTAGGAAAAATTCATCAACCCAGACTTACTGAGTGGTAGCGTGCTCATCATGAGACCTGAGAGTTTTTCACCTAATTTTTTGTGTATTCTGGGCAAGAACCAAGGAGATGATACAACCTAAGAGGAAATGACCATCTACTGGCCATAGGTTTCCAGTGGTTCCCTGACTGAATTCAATTCGCGACGGGAACTACCTGATATTATTGTAAACTGGCTGATTTGTATTTCCAGTTTTCGGCATTATCGATGAATTCTGCCCTAGGTTTTTTCGATCATTCTCTATGACTCAGAACTACATCATCACATCGGTGTGTATAATGACTTGATCTGAATTAGTGTGAAGTAACTTGCTGAACTGTACAGTTACTAAGGAAAAAATGACGTCATTTTCCCCCTAGTCAAAGGTAAGAAGGCAACTATTTTGTCAGTATTGTTGTTTATAAAACAGTGAATCCTCCAATGGAACTTTAGAAACTTGGGCGAAATCAGCCAGATGGTATTCAACTAACCTTTCTGTTTGTCGACGCCTATCAGTGGGTTTTTGTAGATTTCCTTCTAGAAATCTAAAAACAGACACTCATACTACGCATAAAACCTGGGAATCGAGAACATGAAAGTAGCAAAGTCCCTGTGTACAGGAGACAAGATAATGATATCTTAGGTACATGTAACAAGCATGAGGATAGAAGAAAACTTTTAGATAGGCCTAACACTATAAAAAGCCACATCAGCTAATCGTGTAAAGTAGCAAATAATAATCGGTTTCCTTTTATTAACACATTATTGACTAGAAGAGAAGACATGTCGACAGAACGATCAGTGTCAGAAAGCCTAACAGTATCTGATTTTCATAGTTTCTGTTCAATAAGGTATAAACGAAGTTTTGTAAATTGCTTGTTTAAAAAGGAGAAATAAAGTTCTCAACAGAGAAACCGCTGAACAATGCTAGTCCTCTGAAGTTTATCAGTCGGTTAGAAAACATTTCAACGTTGTGGACCACTCAGTATTGTATCCCGAAAAAGTGTGTACATCAGTCTACCGTAAAAGAGGGAACCAAACAATCTGAGTTTAAGACGAAGGCTTCATTCACTTTTTAGAAGAACATATTATGCAGTCAAACTAATTATTATGGAGAAAACGAAACCTAAGCTTCCAAATGAACGTCATAACCACATAGGTGATTGCGTCACGTCAAGTTGTGTATACTAGATTAAACGTGTTTACGATAACGCGTACATTTAGAGGAGTAATGAAAATATGAAGTCGAGGATTGTGCAGCACATCCTTAAGTGGCTGTAAATACAATTACATTCGAATAGGAGACAGATAGACGTATCGTCCATAGGTAAAAATCAGTTGCAGGAGTGGACTCTATACCGTCTTTAAACTAGAAGTCATCATGAATCGCATACTAAACGAAGACACACAAAAGTCCAACTACCCTTTTATGTAATATTCAGAAACAGTTTATCTTTTCCTTAAGTCATCCTGGTTTATCTTCATCTCATTTTAATAAGAAAGAGATGTTGAATTGCGTATTACTCATCATTATCATCCTTTATTTTAAAAAATTTGTATGATCTTAGTTTCTTTGCTTTACTCTACTCTACTTTATCTTTCATATGAAAAAAATAACTTGACAAGTAAATGTGATCACACTGTTCGGAAATACATCAGATCATTTAAATAAACTCCGTCTTCTTGTTACAGTATGTAAATGCATCAAAAGAACTAATTATTTCGGACCGAAAATTAATTGAATGAAATATGACTTTTACTGCCTTAATACTCCATAGAACATAAAATCTACAAAATGAAAAGAATATTCTTAATACTACTTGTCAATAGCAAGTAGTATAAAACTTGTTGAAACACGGAGAAATAAGATGAAGTGTATAGACAACTTAACTGGGTATTTATTTCTGCAGATTCAAGGTAAAAATACTGCTGCTTGGTGATATTTAATACATTTATTATCTTGATGTACGACTTATGCTTGATTTAGGTGTATAGGAGTCATCATCATCGTCTGTCAACACAGGACCAGGCATTACTGCGTAACGGTCCGAGTTGCCACAGCTCATGTTAGTACATCAAGTAAAAGTCAGTGAAGTGGAAAACGAAGATTAGAAAATTCAGTCAGAAGAAATATAAAGTACGAAAAGAGAGAAAGGAAGAATGAGAAAATGGTGAGATTCGGTATAGGGTCGTTAATGTGAGGACAATGTGTGTGTGTACATTTGCGCCGCTGACATCGGTTCTCAGCCATATCACCTAGAGTCTCCAACACTGGTTCATCTTATCCCGCGGACCCCAACCGGCTAGTCAATAAGGTCAGAGAGTCATAATTGTGACAGAAGATCTTGAGTGAAATTTCTTCCAATAATAATGAACACTAGCACAATTGTGATGATAGTTACCTTGATGGTTTGAATATACGTTCAACCAATAATCAGTCAGTAAACAAGGATTGCAATTTGAACTAATCAGCGAAAACCTGTGTTTTGTAATGATAACTTTTGTTAACCATTGAACATTTAATAGTATTAGTTGGTGTTTTTCAATTTTACTTTCGTATTAGACAAGTCCACAAGATAGAGGTGATCGATTGGGTGATATTATTCAAGTTGGATTAGATGATATGAATAGTACAGTTGATTTACAAAATAAATAATCTTACCGATTCGTATGAATAAACGTTCATATTGGTGAGTGCTTTTCATTTTAATCAGCTAGTTTACAAATCTATAGGAATGGTTAACCTTCGATTACCTCATCTGATCAACTAATCAGTAGTCAGTTGATCAATTCAAAAACGATTTTGATACAAATGAGTGTTGAATGAAATGTCATTCTCCGTAGCTTGGGACTGAGTTTACGGAAGTGACCAATTTTATCTTACTGGCTCGAACTCAAGAGTCTCCATTGTTATAATTAACTTGATGGTGGCTAGCAGCGAAATCTAGGACGCGCGTTTCGTCCCCTTCAGGACTTGCTAGGTGGACGCACTTGCACCTCAGTGAGCGATGTTGTCCCGCAGAGGCTCGAACTCAGCGCCTGTCTCTGCGAACGCCAGTGTTATCTTTTAAGACAATGAGGAGCGAGGACCATATCTTTTGTAATGGGTGGCAGTTGGAAGCGTTTGAAGTGATGAATGTTGCGTTCGAGTCTCAGTTGGAATACTATCAACCACTGGGGTTCAGGTACATCCAGCTGATGAGTCCCGGATAAGATCTAAATGAAAACAGCATCTCCCACTGAGGAAAAGTACATCCTGGTGATCCATATCAAACAGAACAAAACGTAAATGTAGATATGGCTTAATGGCTTCGGAGCGTGGCTACCAAGTAGGTGGACTCGGGTTCGGATCCCACCTCACTTATGTAACCTTAACAACCAAGTAGTTTTATAAGCTCTCATGCAAAAATTGTGACTCATAGCCCGGTACATAAAGATGTTCTGGATTGAGTTACACAGTATAGCAGTAACTAACATTTGCGAAAATGTCTAATTAATAACCACAACATGACATTCAACACACTGATGATGATCATTATTGTTGAATCCTGGATATTTTTTTTACTACTGACATATTATTGACTTAAGTATTCAGTAGTTAATCACAATTTTTGCAATGTTCAACTGTCAATAAAATATTCAGTTTCTGTTGTTTCCATGACTCTATTTTACTTCTAGCCTGTACTGGAGTCAAAGTATAACTCTGTGGATCGATTGGATATAAAGCATATATCAAATCGTGTAGTGCTATACGTTTCATTTTGATCTTGAATTATTCTTCTTTAACCGTTGTATTTTCTTTCCCATTTGCAGCAAACAAAGTAACCTATAGTACTAATGTTAATTATCTTATATCATACTTCTGTTTTATTTCAGTGTTCAATGTGTTCAATAAATCAACCATTTGTTTTAATGAATACATCCATGCATGTGATAGATTTCAAATTGTGGATTATTATTATTATTTCAATCATTCATCACTTAGCTTAGATATTATATTACCTAACGGACTAGTGAGATTTCACATGTTGTCATGTGATCCTTTTTTGTAAGACTTGTGAAGACAACAAATTAGTGATTGTATTCAAGCAGCCTCACTTTGGGCGGCTAGAGGTTTTGAGCACTAGTTATCAAGTTAGCATATGCTTATATTTTAGAATAAGTTGTGATCGCCAAGAAACTGTTACCTTGAAAGTGCATCATCGATTAAATGAGCTGAGGAAAAAAGATTAAAACAGGTGAATTTGAGTACATTTTCACAATTAACGTTTTTTATGGAGTCATTTTGTACTCAGCTAGCGTTGACATATTTAAAGGGATCTAATGTTTAGTTCCATTGCAGTCGGCAGGTAATTCTAACCATTTAGTATTTGTGTTAAAGGAAGGGATTCCTCTAGCTTTCAAAGAATCTACGTAATCTATTCAACATTCCAACTACCATCATCTTTATGCACCACAGTGAGATATGACAGTTAGGCATTTGGCTAACTGTTAATCAGTATAATATAATGAGAAGTACTGATAAGATATATATATATGGCTACACCAAAAGTTATAACGATTCACTGGTGAGGAAATATACGAAAAGAATAAACAATTTTGGATCCAGGGTTGCTCGCTTCCTTGAAAACAGAAATAAGCTGCAAAGCAGAAAAACGTTTTATTCTCAAATCGAACAAGTACAAAAAGTAACTGTTTATATACACTTTTGATAGCTTTGCTATGTTCTACACTTTTGTAGAAAGTCTTTTAGTCATTCGGGGACTCATTTATGATCACGTAGTTTTTGCAAGCGTTGGGTATACCACGATTAGCTATGAAGGCTTTCCAGGGGATTTCAGGCTTATTTGAGGAATCTAATGGATATTGTTGCACTTCATATCACCTTCCTCTTTAAAAAATAACTGCGTTTAGGAGATTCGCTCGGAGTTCACTTGAATCCTCATGATAAGTATCATGAAACAAGTCGTTTGACTCTGTTGTGACTTCAGACCAGCAGAATTTTGACAATTTTTCTAGCAGTTTGGAAATCGAGAACTTTTTTCTGATTGCTGTGGTTTGTTTAGTAACATATCGAGTGGTAAGCTGAAGGGAGTATCATTTCTGCTACTGTTACGACGTCCTGGTCTTGGTTGATATACGTGTGTACTTCAGACTTCTGGACCAACTTGTATCTCGTAAATTACTATTCCCATTTTATATCTTACTACTCCCATTTCCCATAGATTTTTATCCCGGTAGTTTCTAACCATAACCGTATCAGCAGGTCAGATATTCCTGCTTTGTTGTAGCCGCTTGCTACTTTTTGACTTAACTGTGGGCAGCATAGACTCAAAAGCAGTTATTATTCGGCTACCAAACATACCCTCAGTAGAAGATTTCATGGTTTGGTATGTCGGGATTCTGGGTGTTTCTGTAGTTTATAAGGAATCCGTTAACGACGGTGCTTATCGATCGTTCTTCTTTTCCCTTCAATAAAACATGTTTAAGCGTATCCACAAATCTTTCTGCCTAACAACTCGATTGTGAATGATAAGGTGGTGATCGTAAGTGCTGGGTTGCATTTTATCTGCGAAAAGGTGAAAATGTTGCTGAAGTAAATTGTGAACCATAATTGATTACCATAGTTTCAGGAACGCCAAAGCAGTTATAAAACTAATTAATTTGGCGATAGTAACTGCCGTCGTGTATAGTGGCATATGGAAAGTTGCAGACCATTTGCTATGTACATCAACAATAATGAGATACATCTTACATTGTATTGGTCTTTTGAAGCCAACATGAATTCTTTGCTGTTGAGTTTCGGTCATTGGCCTCTGTTGTGAGGGAGACTATGGTGGATTTCTTGCTGCGAACTTGCATTTAAGACAATTCTGAAACGTTTTCACGATTTCTCGGTCCATCCTAGGCAAGTGTACGTAGCTACGCTCCAGAGATTTTAGTCTAGTTGCACATGGATTGTGAAATTGGCTCAGCACTTGTTGTCGTAGAATTTTTGGTACTACAATTCTGTCACCAAACATGAAACATTATTCCACAATCAACGGTGGTAATAGTATTGTGTGGGGACGTCAATGTGCTTAGTGAGATGTTGGCCACTTATTCTAGAGAAACCTTTTAACAGCTCATAACTTCTCATCTCTTTCAGTAGCAGCTATGATTTCTTCAGAAGTCGCTGGAAAGCTATGTAATCAGTTTCTTAAGACTTGTTTCAACTTTCACTGCTACAATCAAAGGGTCTTCTTTTGGCGAGTAATGAGAAGTGATTGGTCGAGAGAGTGCATCCCCCTAACCAAGATTATCTGTGGCTTGGTACTATATTCAAAAATCATAACCCAACAGTGTCGTACCCCACCGTTGAAGCCGATTTGTAGTGTAAACTGGGATACCGTTTTTGAACCAAGCACTGTTAATAAGGGTTTGTGATCCGTCATAAGGTAAACTGTCGTCCACTTATTATTCTATGGAACTTTTTGACTGCAAATATATAGATAAGGCTGACTGTAGTTGTGTTCTGTGGTCATCAGTGAGCGGGAGACATGAGCTATGGCCTTCTCGGGACCATATAGGAAAACGCGCGACACATACTTATAACTCTCAAAAAGCATAAAAGCATCGAAAAACAGCTCATACTGGATAGCGTTTTACTACTAAGTTGAGCACAGTAGAACCTTTTCACTACTTTTATTCTAAATTATAAAATCTTATTTCTTAGTTCCAGGTAGGCTGGCATTACCCATCAAGCAATAAAGCAGCATAGATGCTGCAAAGCGAACCTGTTCACTGTTGGTTCACTACCTTTTGACTTGTATTGTATTTCAAAATCTGCAGGTATATATCTGACCATTAACTCCATGACTAAGGCCTAGTTTGAATTCTAAAGCACTGATAACGGGGATAAAGAATAGCAGCCACCACCAAATAAATGACCTTGAACAGCTAATCAGAATCTCTAGAAGTGTGGTTCAGTGGTAACAAATGTGTTTATATGAGTAAAGCAGTTAAAAGGGTAGTTTAACAGAATAGTTTCATTGTATATGTTGTAAATAAGCTTACTGGTTTGTCACTAAGTCAGGTAAACGTTTGACCTACTTGTATAAATATTTTCGTCTCGGTCATTAAGATCACTATCACTTCGGTAGCCATCTACTGTTCGAATTCTTTTCTTCAGATTACCATGGAATCTTTTGATCGAATTGGTATGTGTGCCAGTGACTGGGTCAGTGAATTCAGATAGGTGATTCTACTATGTGATGAATATATCATGAACACGACAGTTGGGTCAACTGATCCTCGTGTATTGTTGTTGCAGGTGACCAGTTCTTTAAATACAAGGCTCTTTAAATAACAGGTGGCATCGCAGTGTGGTAGTACTGTGGTTTAGAACTCCGTTCAAGAAGCCTTACATCAGGGTAATGCCATATATCTCCAATACACATATGTTTGCTTACAGTTGTCAAAGGTTATACGTTCTCCTTATGAAAAGTGTCTAGTCTAAATGAACGACAGCTCCAGCTATGTTTAAAGTCTTTATAATATTTTTTCAGTTTGCAGGATGTGACATCTTTGTAGTACTGGAAACATAACACCATACATAGCAAACTACTTCGCATTTACTTTCATTGGCCTCTTGAGCACTCATTGATGGTGTATGAACAGTACTTTTGTGTCAGTGATAGTTCTAATCTGAAGAAGAAAGTCCCGACGAAATCAGAGAGATGAAAGCATACCATCTCATACGGATATCAGTTTCTTACATAGACGTCATCTGAATACCTTCTGACCCAATGTACACTCTCAGGTATGAAGGGTCATAATTCCAAGACAAGAACATAATTTAAGTCATGCAATTAGTCCTTCGTCCATGCTAAAATTGAAAAACAATCTCCTTATAGGACTGTGAACTCAGTAGGTGAACGTCTCTCGTTGTCACTGTCCTATTGGTCAATATTCAGGCAACCTTATTTGTTGTTCACCGTCACTTTGTTGATCCTTGGTTGTAGCTCCAACATTCTATCTCCACTACTCTAATTAGTATATTCTTCTTCACAAAATAGGATAATAGCCACAGGGAGCCATTTGAAAGTTGTCTTATGTCCATATCACATGGGTAAGGATCTTTATTGTAAGTACTCCGACTGCACGCAGTTACGAGCACTCGGAAAATCAAGATACATTTCTAAAAGTAAATAAATAACTGTATTCTGTGTAGTTTTCTATCTTTCTTCTATTCAAAATTTACAAAGGATTTATCGTTTTCCATCGATACTTTCAAGGACATTTAAGACCCCGATGAAAGGGCGAAATTCTATAGTTTTACCGCTGAAAATAATATAACTTGTTGACTTTTGTATATAATGATTTTTTATATGGGATAAATAGGCAGTTATGATTACAGAGAACAAGACGAAATATAAATCTGTCGTACAAAGAAATCGTTGATAATTTTAGATTCCCTCCTTTTTTGGTAACAGCTTCTTGTAGTCAAATCATTGATAAGGATCTACGGACTTTTATTAATCTCATTATCGACATTTATTTCTTGCATATTGAGCTCATCTTCCTTCTCAAGGTCATCAGAGTTTGACTGTTCACCATTCACTTTCCTTTTATTCATGTAAGGCTGAAAATAGTGCAGAATGAAGTTGTGCATCAAACTTACTCAGTAGTAAAAATAACAATAAACAATATCAAAAGAACTTAACTTTTGCATTAATATTCATCCAGAAACGTGTCACAGAAAAGAAATTCCCTGGACAGTTGTGGTATGGAATCAGCTTGGAGAACTTACCAGATTGGTTCAAGTTACCATATATTTATTATAGATCAAAGTATCTGTGATGTTATCTCACGTTGTCCTATGGGTTGGGATTACCAATGTCCGACGTTTCACTACGTCATCCTTTTCAATTGGTTGTCTATGTTGATTTAAATACATGAGAGGAACACGTACAACTAACCACTGTATGTTGTCTATGTAATATTTTGCCTGCATAGTCAGCAATTCAACATATCACTCAAGTACATCCTGTCATCGGACATCATGGAAGAAGGTGGTACACTAATTCAGAGATATGAAGGTTGAGGGAAAGTAAATTCATGGTTACTTTTAGATTCAAATCAGATAAAAATTCACTGGGAGTAAACTATACAATTCAGCAAATTCTAACTCACTAGCTCAACACGGGTATGCTTGCTACAAAGTTTTAACTATCCTGAATTTAGTTCTATGTGTGGAATAGAGCTTACGTTGCTGAGGATTTGCAAGTCAAGAAGAAATGATAACCAACTATTCCCTGTTTTTCAATAATTCCCTAGTGATTGATTTTTTTTATGATGCGAAAAGTCTTTTATTTACATATATTAATGCAAGTCAAAAATTATTTTACCGGAAAGTATTATCTCCCAAAACATCTATGAGTTTTATTTAGATACTGAATAGTGAATGAAGGTGAAAAGAAAACCTGGACCGCAGCAATAGTCTAATCACCGATCATCTGGTTACCGATATCAATAACGTCAGTCTGCCAAACCACTACTCTTTCAGAGAGTCTGACTGATCATTTCTGTTGCAGTAAGCTGATTTATCTGTATTTAGAATTATTTAAAATCACTACATAACACTATAATGAATCGACTTACTAATGCTAAGATTATTTTAAATCAATCGTTGGTTCTTTTCATTCTTCATCTTCTTGTCAATAGAACGTTCAAGAAACGGAATTCTGGGCTATTTTAAGTTTTTATGGGAAATTTAATTGACTTTCATAGTATTTCTTCAATGCTAGTATTCTTCTCACAGATGATTAAAGTGTCATGGACTCAGTTTACTGTTCTCTAAACTGTCCATGAAGCAATCAGTTAAGAAAGAACCGGATAGTGAACCCACTCCTACCCCATCCTCTTATCAGTAAAGTGCATTATTGAATCTAAATTATATATTAAAGGTACGCTGTAAGAGCAATTCCTTCAGAAAATGTTTATGAATACCAATTTCAAGCTTGTTGTCTCAATAAAGTCACATGGAAAGCAGTTAAATCCTGTCAAAGAGACATTTGTGAAGAGTGACTTGATGTCCAGTGTTATCATACGCTTGCTACATACGTTGACATCTCTTATGCAGTAAACGAAGTCGAAGAAGTCACACGCACCGTAATTATCGATTTAAATCTTCATTGGCTGAAGGATTTCAGTGAATTATTTAGCAATACCATGATACGATGAATTGTACATGTCAAAAACTGGATGAAGTGAAAAATTCTTCTTATGAACTTTGCGAAGACCATAGAGTTGAGGAATTACTGAAACGGATGGTTTTAGTCGTTCAAACATCTCTGCCCGGATGATCGATTCATATTTTACCTTATTCAAGATTTTTGTCAGATTTTGTCCTGTTTGTTCAGTTGCGTCCTTCTGAAAGGCTTCTCTCAAGAACTCAGTCTCATTAGCTAGTATGGGCGAGAGTTAATCAACATAGTCTTTGCGATTCATGAGAAGTATGCCAGAGCTGTTGTTGGGACAAACTAACAATAGTTACTTGTTCTTCAAAACTTCATTTGGCTGAACTTTATATTATTTGGACAATATTCTCCTAGTATTTTGATTGTCCATTGATGTAATGAAGGCAGCAGTTCAAAACTGTTGATTTAAATTGCTCCAAACTCTTGCTGGAAGTTGCAGTTCGATTGCTTGTTTGGTACATTAAACTTTCAAACGGAACTTTAATATCCATTTCATTTAGAGAAGCCAAAATATCACAGGACTTAGGGCCTAACGAAAGCACTTGCAATCGGAATGAAGATAAAGTTATATTAGAATAGGTAAATACATATTTTTCAGGATTTTCAGGAAAATGGAACTGTTTTAAGACTTTTAATAAGCTTTAGGTGTACATCTTCTGAGCGTTTTTTCACAATCGTATTTGTGTAGTCTTTAAAATCTTCTCGATCATTGTAATTGCTACAGAATACATGAGAATTAACGGAAACGAAATTTATACGGAAGGCTGTTTGGGTTTACTTCAAGTTCAGAAAATCTTGTCACCGGCGACATAACCGACTGGCAATTGAAGAGTCAGTGTACTGCACAGTAGTTCACTCTAACCTATTGTATGACTGTGTGACAGCCATTGCAGTTGAGAGGTATGTAGAGGTTACAGGTTTCTGCCTATAGATGCCTATTTTTTGTCAGATCAACTTTTAAGCTTAGGCTTAGAGACTAGCATGAAGGGCAAGCCAGTCAATGTAACTGTGAATCGAACACATACATCCTATGCCAGACCATTACCTGCCTTAACAGATGTTGTTAGCCAAGGTAGGGCAAGTATAGAAGAAATCTAAGGGTAACCAGGTCAAGATGTAGCATCAGTCCATAAAGTTTGACTGTTTGTCTCATTCGTATCAGAAAGTGTAGACTGCTCTCCAGATTCATTAAGAAGTCAAGGATCAGTGGTCAGAGACTCTCAATGACACTGCCCTAAATGGGTCACAAGTAACTCAAGTATGTAAACTTTGTCAATTTAGGAACTTTGAAAATTATTTTACTAACTTCCATTAACTTGTCATCTTTCCTCTTATATAACTTTATCTGCTTTAAAATCGTACATCTTCAACCCACCATCTTCTTTGTGTACTGTTGTATGTGTGCGAGTGAGGTGAATACTAGACTGGCGTGGTTGCATTTATAAATGCCCAGAGGATATGAAGTCACATACTTTAACAGAGTAAATGTCACAAGACAGGATAATTGGCAGAAAATCAGGATATCATGAGTGGTGGCATGAATGTCACCGACAAATAATTAGTGGAGCTGAAATCTTGGTCGTCAGTGTGTCAGTTTTATGCTAGACTATACAGTACTTGTCTCATAAGTGTTCAGGTATAATGCATACATGAAATGGGTGGTCCATTCACTGATACATTTGCAACTTATATTCACTTAACATGCATTTCTACAAACAGGTAACGACATTTTCAGACAGCTTTGGTTAGGTGATTGATACTTAGAGTCGTACGAGAGGGAGCCACTTATCTGCCTATGTTTCGTGCTTACTGGCAATCATCAGTAAGTGGTATCTGTGTCGTTGAAGAAACCTATGTCCATCACGTGATTCTAAAACACACTGCTCACCATTGCAGTCAAAGACCTTATTAGCACCCTACTGAGATCATTTAGAGTCCCCTGTATGTCTGAGTTATGTACATAAGCTGGTCATCGAATGGCTACTTAAAACACCTTACTCTGTGCTGATTACCCTGAAAGTGCCTTTTTAACTAGGAAAACCATACTAGTTAATCTATCTGTGCCACTGAAGCAGCTCATTGGAGCGAAAAGAAGTAATGGCTAGATGGAGACATATTACTTGGGTTAAGGCCAAAAAAACTGACCATATTTCTGATTTGGTCTATGTGCTATTCTCCGGATACGACCCTGTGAATCTTATCAGTAAGCTGATCTTTTTAAGACAGTATGCAAAGAAGATGAAGAAGAAGAAAGAAGAAGAGGGAGGAGAAGAAGGAGAGGACAAAGTAGAAAGGTTTCAAACAACAATTCCACTGAAGATACCTATGCTGTTCATCATCAGCTACAAAATCATCCACAGAAATCAGCAAACGGTTCATCGTACCATTCAAAGAGAACACTTCAGAGATTATGACTTGAATACTAAGACCACTTGGAATTGATGTAGCTCATTAACCAACAAATTCCCTTCAAAAACAACAGGATGCAAAGGCCGAAAAAGACAAATCAATTATCCTTTAAGAAATAAACTGCATCAACTGCAATCTGCAGTACAACGAACAAAGTGGTGGTCGTCTTCGTCTTTTCTTTACCCGAATATCAGTTAGCTATTAAATGTCACGATATTTCATCACTCACTTCAATACAACTGAAAAACTATGTACATTAATTCAACTTTGAAAATGTAGAGATTTTGGGGGAAGGAAACACAAAGAATATCAGAGAATTCCTAGAATTCAGGTCATTCAGCAATCAATAGATGCATAAATTTAGACCCAGTCTATCAAACAATAAGAAAAACGATAAACAACAAAGAGATTAGAGTTCAAGCAGAGAAAATCTATGCAGGCAATGGCACAACAATCAAAGGAAACTGCCAATTATAAACGACTTTGTCAGGACAAGCTACTGAATCGCTCATGAAGAGATACTGACAGCTCACTTCATATTGAAGTAAAGGGCTGATGATACCGTCTAGAAAGACAATGATGATAGTTTGATCACATTCAAACACATTGGATAGGCGACAATAATCTGTAATAGGTGTCTCTGAAATGATTATCATATCCTTGAATCTCTCTGTATTTCAGTGTTAAACCTTCATGCAATCTGACATCACTGAACAATTGCTTTTATCAATTACAACAGTTCGAATAGTCAATGGCTTTGTAGCAGTAATAATAGTACTTACCTTTAGAATTACAAAAGAACAGACTAAATCTTCATTAACTTGCATCACTGCACCAGCATTATCAAACTCTCCACAGTAATTCGCTGCACTAAACACAGTTACAACCTGAGAGTGAAATTGAATAAGTAAATAAGAGTTTGTTCACAAGTTGGAATATAATAAAATTTGTTTTTTTTCAACAGACTAGAGTTTCTGTCTGTTAATTTCTTTTAAATGTATTTACTCACCTCTTTGACATGAAATTCAACACAGTAACGAAAATTAGGACACTTATACTTCACGTCGGCTGGGTCAATACACATCTATAAGGGGTTAGGTCTTGAGATTATATAGATTTCTGCTGTTTTCCGATGAGTAGACGGTCGTAATTACTATTCAAGACACAAATCAGTAGATATCCTCTCCAAAGTAGGGAGAGTTTACCTATAGATTTAGAGATCTTGACAGACCATCGAGTAAGTGACTACTTAAATATGGTTTTATTCTGTTGCATGACTTTTACTGACACTGACATAATGAAATACATGACTCCTGGCTAACTGTTATCATTGGGGAGCATAAACTCATCTGTTCATTCATATTACGCAATAATATCCTGTCAAAAAAATGTTGAAAGAGACAGATCACTTCGGTTATCCCTAAATAAATAACTAGTGAGAAATTGTGATAATTTTAGTGGGAGTATATGAAGTGCTTTTCATTGGAAACAATTATTTTCTTCAACAAAAGAAAAATAAATGGTTTCTGGGCAATAATCGAAGATGTAATTAAAATTTGGGTCACAGTAGGATGTGAACCAGTGACTACTGGGTTTCCAACCTGACAGTTCCTGTTACGGCTCAAATTTTCATTTCACTTACAACCTTCACCTAATCTGTCAAACCACGTCTATCTCACTCAGATAGTCGAAATGTTGAAAAATGAAACAACACTTTGTACACAGTGGAAATCACAGCTCGAATAGAAGGAAAATCTTGGTTGCAACAAATTCTGAACAAGTAGTCTACATTTGAGTAAAAAAAAATCATTTCAATCATCAGCAAACACTTTATAGATTGAAAATTGCATATGTATGTGATTCCTTGAACTGTTCTGAATTCAATTGAGAAATCCAGTGCGATTATACAGAATTTAACTAACGTAGTTCCTGATCAAACGACTTTTTATATACTAGTTTGCAAAGGTTAACTAGTTCACTAGTTACTAGCCGGTCCTAAGCCTCGCTAAAGAGGGAAGGTTGGGCATACGGCTAGCAACCCTACCCCGTAAAACAAATCTAACTGCTAAAGAAACTTCAAAGCACAAGCAAAATATTAAAAATAAAAACAATATTATTCCTCGCTGGAAACGGAGAGGCGAAATAACGCCGATTGGTGAAAGCCTTCGGGAAGCCGATTGGCCGATGTGTCTTCTCTCTCTCGATGAAAGCGAAAGTAAACGTGGGGACATGGAATGTCTGCACAATGTTTGAAGCTGGCTGGCTGGCTGGCTGGGCTGACAACGCTGCCCAGATTGCAAACGAGATGAGAAGGTATCGCATTCAAGTGTCAGGAATTTGCGAAAGCAGATGGAATGGAAGTGGACTCTCCAAACTGTCAACTGGAGAGGAGTCAATAATCTACTCCGATATTGTCACCCAGACGACAACCACGAGCACAATGAGTTTTCCAGTGTCTATCATGATGTCCCCAACAACATCGAAGGCTCTCTCTCATGCAATGGGAACCAATCTCCTCCACCATCAGGATCATGACAGTAAGATTCAACTCAAAAGGTAGGAAAGTCACAATCATACAATGCTACGCTACACTATGCACCTACAAATAATGCAGATGAAGAGAAGAAGGAGGAATTCTACAGACAACTGCAATCAACACTGGACAAGACGTCACTCCAGTTGGAGACATCAAAATCCATTCTAATGGGTGGTGTGACATGAATGCCAAACTGGGAGTGGACAGACAACACAGGAAGAGAACAAACTACGGATCGAGAAGCGCTTGGTGAGGTGATGAACGAGAATGGAGAATTATTTGCAGGTTTCTGTACATTCAACGATTTGGTGATTGGAGTGAGGCAGTGTTTTCAATCACAAGGATATCCACAAAGCGACATGGATTTGATTTCACCAGACACCAGAACACACTACACTAAAAATCAGATCGACTTTATCTCAATGTGAAGAAAGTGGAGACGCAGTCAGCCTACTTGACACAAGGTGAAGAAGGGGAGCAGATGTAGGCTCGGACCACTCACTATCCAGTGCAAGGAACCTACCTTCCAAATCAAGTTAAAAGCCTTCAAGGAAGTTGGTGATAGACCACAGTTCAAGTACAACACCCACAACAGAAACTGAAGGACGAAACTACAAAGGAAATCATCACGTCAGCCATCAAGACAGAATGGGAGATATCGAGCAGCATCCGTGAAGAAACCTGTGTGAATGAGCACTGGAACTCTTTGAAAGCTATGTGGAAAGAAACCTGCATAACTGTGTTAGGAAGGAAGAAGAAAGAAGGAAGATAAGGAATGAATGTCGATGGACACATGGAAGCTGATAGAGGAGGGAGAGGAGGATGGTGAAGCAGAAGATAAACCAGTGCAGTGGAAGGATGAACAACGAGAAGAGGAACTGAGTACAATGTATAGAAGACTACACTGGACAAAGAAGTGAATAAGAGTGTGCGGAAAGACAAAGACACTTCCACAACACACTGGCAAGTGAAGCAGAACAGGCTGCAGGTAGGAGAGACAGAGACCTGACAACATTGTATCAAATAACCAGTTTAGTATCTGGGAGTGGAGAGATCAACACATGTGAAATCAGTTAGAGATGATGATGGAAATTTAATTACTAAAGAAGAGAAACAAAGCAAACGATGGGTTGACCACTTCAAGAAGCTCTTGAATCGACCACCACCACCACCAACTGCACTTCGTCTAGAAATGCCACCTGCAGCCCAGTCACAGAACTACAAGTGAACATAAATCCCCCAACAGAAGCCGAAGTTCTGAGTGCCATAAAGCTACTGAAATGTGGGAAAGCAGCAAGACCAGATGGAATCCCACCAGAAGCACTGAGAACAGACACAGAGACAACAGCAGCCGACACGCTCACACCACACCACTAATGCAGAATGTCTGGAAGGAAGGGAAGGTACCCACCTATTGATTGGAAGAAGGTCTACCTTGTCAAATGCCCGAAGACGGGAGACCTCAGTATTTGCAAGAACTGGCGAGGAATCACTCTCCTGTCCACCCAAAGCAAGCAAAATATTAAGCCGCATCATCCTGGAGAGGCTAAATGATGCACTGGATTCGAAACTACGACCAGAACAGGCTGGCTGTCTACCCTCTACCTCTACTGCATCGACTTTGGAAAGGCTTTTGACAGCGTCGACCGACAAGTAATTTGACAACTGCTTCAACACTACGGAATACTACAAACCTTTTTCAACCTCATTAAACAAATATATGAAGACGCCACATGCCAAGTAATTCACAATAGGAAGCTCAGCGACGCCTTTGAAGTGAAGTGAAGACAGGAGTAAAACAATTCTGTCTACTATCATCCATGATATTACTGATTGTGGTTGACTAGACTGGATCATACAACAAACAGTGAGGAGCTGTGAGAAGAGGGGTATACGCTGGATCAGGGAAAAGAACCTAGAAGATTTGGATTTCGCCGATGATGATTTATGTCTGGTGTCTCATAAACTTGGAGATCTACAGGCGAAAACTAACAAATTGGCAGAAGAGGCAGGGCAGCGAAGACGCGACTTCAAGTAAAGTGAGTGTAGAGAAGACAGTGGTGATGAAGATACTCAACCAACAACACCAACAACACCAACAACAAACTCCAATGAGTATCAACAACCGGAGAAACTTGAAGGAAGTAGCCTCCTTCATCCTTCTAGACAACATCGTTTCAACTACAGGCGGCACAGGCACAGACGAGGACGTCAAAGCCAGCCAGCCAGCCAGCCAGCATCGGAAAGACAGCAAGACAGGCTTTCATTAGCCTGAAATCAGTGTGGAGATCTTCTGCACTGCACTCAGCATTCGGCGTGAACAAGATGTGGATTTTCAACACCAACGTGAAGTCAGTGCTTCTATGTGATGGCTCAGAAAGTTGGCGCGTTAAGAAAGGCATTTCCAACAAACTACACACACTCATCAACAACTACCACCTACGCTGGCTCGTTTCTGAAGATCAGATGGACTACCAGAATAACAAGAATAAGCAACAAGGAACTCTGGCTGGCTGGCTGGCTGGCAATGAACCAACGAAGCAAGAAGCTATTGCTGAACAAATATACAGTTGAGGGAAGTGGAGATGGATTGGGCATACACTGAGAAGACTGAGTGGAGACATCATGCGCCAGGCCAGGCCATGCCAGGCTATCGAGTGGAATCCGAAGGGTGAGTGACTAGTTTGGCGTGTCTGGTGAGGGTGAAATGGAGGAGATGGTGTGAGGAAGAAATGAGAGCTTGTGGTTAGTTGTGTCACGAGGTTGAAAAGACTGCGAATAACAGAGTGGAATGGAGACGTGCCACTGAAGACCTATGTTTCATTAGAAACCCAAGCGACAAACAACAATAATAATACAGCAATACAGTATGGATAAGTGTTAAGCTATAATAAGTTCTAGGGGTTAAGTAAAGACTCGACAGCTAGACCCAAATCAGTCCTACAAATGTGGAGAGGTTGCAGTCACATTCTGAATATCTCAGTACTTTGGTTTACGACTTTATCTCTAAGTGGTGCCGGTTCGAACCACCAAGCAACGCCAGTTTTCATATGGTTGCAGAGATACGTTGCTGATAAGTGCCAGTGAGAACGAAATGTATGTCTTAGTCATCCTCTCGATTGACTGCTACTGTGTTACTGAAGATACAGTTCTCAATGTTACTGCATCACCCCTCTCAATATTCCCATTACAAAGCCAAGTAGACAGACTTCGGTTAGTGTTAAGCAGTAAGGTTACTTACTGGTGACATTCTACTGTAATTCGCATTGATCTAAAGAATGGTTTACACCATACGTAGTAGTGGTGGATAATGGCTAGAGGTGGAATACAGGGTGCACATTTCGTCCTATT